GTGGCTTGATTAACTTGAAGCATGCTGTTGCGTATGATGAGATAAATGGAAAAAACATCAGAAAGATGCTCATATGAAGGATGATGATACAACTGGAGTGTAGAGGATAGACTGTCTCTACACTATAAAAACACAAAATCTAACAAAGTATTTTTGGTCTGGTTTCTAGTGCAAATATCTTAAATACACTTGAAATAAGACAAAACTAATTTACAGGTAACTTTTTAGCAAGACAGGATTTGGTTTCACATCAAAAATTCCTTAATTTTGATAAAATAATATGTTCATGGAACAAAATATTTCAACTTAAGGAAAAAATATCTTGTTGCACAAAGAGAGATTTTTACTTATATATATATATATATAAATTTTTAATCATGTATTACTGACTTAAAACAAACTTTTATTGTGTTGAAAAGTTACTTGTAAGTTAGTTTTATTTTATTTCAAGTGTATTTTAGATATTTGTACTGGAAAATAGCCCAACAACACTTGGTAAGATTGTGTGTTTTTGCAGTGTATATGTTTATACAGGAGAAGTTAAGTAGTTGTTGTTTTTGTTTCTTTTTTACAATTTGAATAATAAACTGAATTTCACTGCATTGTTTGATAACTGGGATCAAACTGGGATGTGTGTAGTTGACTGGATCCATTTGGTTTTTTGCTTGTACATCAAAATAAAACGGCCAACAGTTCAATTTCTGGGCAGAAGAGACAATATTTTACAGTGACATGTCCTGGAGGACGGCATCAGCTGTTGGCAAGCACTGCTAATCCACCCCATTTGCTTTTGCTTCTCTTTAAACCTCTGTCTGGCCATATGATCAACAAAATTAGATGTTTTCCTCTTTCTTTCTGTCTCTCTCTCTGTGATCCCAAACTACGATTTTGGGGTCGCAGCAACAGCGTGTTTCCATGGTTACACATCATAACTGTCCAAGAGTAAAAATGAAAGCGCAAAGATCCAATAATCTACAAAGCAGACGGGTGGGGAAAAGGACGAGGCCCAGTGGGGGGGAAACCGAACTTTTATACGTCTTCTCAGAAATCCAACTGTTTTCTCAAAAATTAAATTTTTTTCTCAGAATTCCGACTTTTTTCTCACAATTTAAGCCTTTTAATCAAAAATTTAAGTCTTTTCTCAAAATTCCAACTTTTTTCTCGGAATTATGATTTTAATCAACTGTCAGAATCCTAAGAAAAAAGTCGGAAGTCTGTGATTAAAGTTGTTTTTTAATTTGTATTGTATTCTGTTTTTTATTCTTCCTGCCTACTTAAATCTGGTGTAAGTACAGTCAGTGTGGTAAATTAGTATTAGTATTAGTAAAGGAAGTGCAATTAGTCCTTTACATCTCAATTTTTCATAAAGATGGAAACGACTGATTTCCAATTATCTCAAAAACAACAAAAGCTGTAAGAGAAAAAATTACTTTAGCTGCTTTCAAAAACTGGCTTTTATCCAGACTCGATTAAATGTTCCAACTATTAATGTGATGAAGAAAACTTCTAGTTTTATTTCTCCATGCATTTGACTGCAGGGAAAACTCATTGTGACTAAATTATAATCAAAGCTCTGCAACAGATGAACACATTTCCCGACTGTGACACTGAAAAAAGCTGAACATTTCTCTTGTAGCTTCTCTGTTTCTCCTTCTCAGGTTCGGGTTTTAGACAAGCGTCACTGCAGATGATAAACTCAAACTTTTGACTCTCTGCCTGCATTCACACGGGGTCAAGTGCTGAGGTCAAGCACAACCCGCTCTGCTGGGCTCAAGCCAATGCGCTGATTTTACGTCAGAATAATGTGGGCTATAGCTGCTCAGTGGTGAAGGATGCTCTGGTGGAAGTGGGCGAATTATTGTACTGAATGACAAGCTGCGTCAAATGAGGCTTTAAGTGATAACATTTCGATTCACTACTGCTCTTTCTACAATATTTTTAAACTCTCTAAAGTGCCACTTTAGCTACCTATACGCTCTCCAAAGTCCATTTTTGCACTTCTTTCAACTCTAGAATATATTTAAGCATAAGAGGAAACCAATTCTACTGCGTTTGCTTAAATAATTTTGTTGAATATCTGCAAACAAAAGCTGCAGTGCAGAGAATCAACAGACTCAGAGCGGTGGACAATATTTCTTCCAGGCTGTGGGAAAAATGCAAAGAAAGCAAGAAGGAAGTGAACACAATACAAGCTTTTCCACGGATATTTTCACGCCAAAAGACTTGAATTGGATCGATGGAAGTTAATCTAATCCATGCCGAATGGATTCATCAGAAGAGTTTACAATCCTGCTTTCTGCTGCTCCATGTTGGTTAATGAAATCAGTCTGACTCTTTATTGATCTGGAGGCTCAGCAGTTTGCTTTCAGAGACTGTTTGATTTGTTTTTCATTCTGATAAATCACATGATTTATCTCTGGTTTCTTTTCCAGCGTTCTTTACAAAATTAAAAGAAAGAATGACCAATTAAAACTAATGCAAAATGTCACTTTTATTGACCAAAACTTGTTAGATAATCATTTTGCTTGCATTAATTTGACACTCCACTGAATATTTTGGCTTAAAATCTTGGTACTGCATGAAAATTTAAACCTGCTTTCACATTTCAACCACAAATATTTTATCTATTTTATTTTGTCTTATACACCAACAGAAATTAATTTTGAAGTGGAAAGAAGTATTTCGTTATTTTCTTAAATATTTCACTGAATTAAGAATTTGAACCATTTAGCGTGTGGTTTGTATTCGACCCATAAATCTCACCACTTCATCGACTTCCACATGTTTGCTTTTTTCAATCAACAGCGTTTAGCAAGCTAATATTAGGCTTGTTGTGCATTTTCAGTCTGAATTATGCATAATTTCTACTAAAATATGAAATTTGTAGTTTCTTTTTAAAAAGACTGCAGGAATAGTAATGCTTTTGTAGATTTTTCTGAACTCGTCAACCCAATATTTTGGTGTTTCTTACTGAAAATCAAAGAAAACACTCCTGCCCCAAGTATCTCGGGATCTTGTTCACGAATGAGGAGCGGGGAGATCGACAGGTGGACTGGCGCCTGTCGATCTCTCCCAGCTGGTCTGGGAACGCCTTGGGATTCCCCTGGAGGAGCTGGAACAAGTGACTGGGGTGAAGGGAAGTCTGGGCCTCCCTCCTGAAGCTGCTGCCCACCCGATCCGACACGGGACAAAGCGGAAGAAAATGGATGGATAAAGAAACAAGCCTCCAGGAAGAAAAAAGCTTCATCACTTCATTTTCCTCATTTCAAGCTATAGAAAACATCCGGTGCTTATGATGGCAGTGGTCAAATTGTCAGTTGTTTTCTAGTAATTTTGATGAGCTGAATCCAAAAATCCTTTCGGTTTTGCTCAATCAGGTAAACTTTCTGAGCTACATATTTTGCACAATGAAGACTTAATCTTCAATTTACATGTACTTACCCTTATCAGAGGTTAGTATTCAATTTACAGAAATACAAGTTTGTATCATTTAATTAATACAGTCTGTTATATAACATTTTTTTGGATCAGAAATATTAACAGAAATGAACTGATAATGTCACAAAAATGTCATCAATTTAGTCAGAAGATCAGATTTTTTAAAATCAAATTAGATATAATTAGACCCGATTGAGAAAAATGGATGTCATTTTTGGACTGAGTAGTGCAAAATAGTCCTAATTCAGTTGAAAAAAAAACATTCAATCTCCAGAAAACAGATTTTTGAAAGCGAGAGTAATGGTTTTTATTCTGGTGGATTCTCTGCTGTCCATTCCCAGTTCACACCTGAACCTCTTCATTGGTATTTAACGATGAGCGATGTTCAGAAACGTCCGGCTGAGAGCCGAGCTCTGCCTGCTTTACTTACCCCTGCTTTGGGGTAAGTTTTGCTGCAACACAGCTGCCGTGAAGCAACACACAGGTCCGTGAATGAGATGGATCTCATGCGCTGGGAATGTATTCTGGGAGATAAAGAAAAAAAATAAAAGATTATAAATTGGGCCTGTGGGAAAACAAATCTTGTTTGTGATGGCAAGTGATGAAACTCTGTGGTTCATAATGTCTCGGGCAGAGCATGTTCCCACAGTCTGAAGGAGTTTTAACCAAACAGTCGTACAACATTCAGGTAGGGAGACGAGTAAACGGCTCCACTCATCCTAGAAAATGTTCATTTACTTAAAGAAACTAAGCAGGCTGAACTGGGGTATATTGGGACATCAAATCATTTTAAACTGCATTTAAAGGGCCTAAAATAAAATGTAAACCTAATTAAAAGCTATAAACATGCAATATTTGGATACAGAAGCACAAAAACGTCAGCTATTATTAAGTTCAATATAGATCTATTTGCTAAATATCTGCCTATTGTGCTACCAGATGATTTTATAAACATTAAATATAAGGTGAAAACAAAAGCATATTTAGATGTAGCTTCTGCTTAAACTCTTTGTTATCCATTTAACACATTTTATGTATAATATATTTCTTATGTACAGTGACATATTTCAGGAGTTTCCTTAAATCTGTTATTTTGGCTTACGAATAATTAAAAAAAATAAAAATACCGGTTTCTGGAACAGAATATTAAAATCAATCAATAAAAATAGATTTTTTAAAAACTAAAATCTTATATTTTTGAACAGTATGTTCATGTTCTGTGCCTTTTGTTCCCTCAATTCTCATTTTGCATGAATTACTGCATCAGTGCAGCGTGACATGGAGGCAATAACAAGAAATGTAACAGTTTCAGCCCATTTATTAAAAACATCTTTGTTGTAATTCCTGAATCCCTGAGCCCAGCTGCTGTTGAACAGATTTTGCTTCAGTTTTTCCTTCCACTGAATTTTCTTGACAAAACTACTCCTCCCTATATTAACTTTTCCAACATCAACAGTCCCTTATTGTCCCCATGGGGCCGCCCTCTTTTAAGACATCCTGGATGCGCCCCTGTCATGTGCTTAACGTGTTCTCAAAGTTTTCTGTAATGCCTTTATGTGCAATCAGAGGAGAGAAACTGTTGTTTTAAGGATTTTGACGCTCAGGTGCAGCTTTGTCTCCTCATCCTCGCCGCTGGGACCCAGCCGGACTCCCTGATTGGCCGGTGCGCTGCGGTGATGTCACCGCCTGCCTCGCTGTCCCAGTCCGGTGAGGCGTCAGGCGCAGATCCGCGCAGGAGCTCCAGATGGAGTTGACGCGCAATGGGATAACAGCTGCGGGTCTTCTGATGAACTCGGACCGTGAGGGCTCAGAGTGCAGCTGCTGCCCGTCATGGGGGACGGCGGCGCGTCTTCGCCGGTGAACCTCCACAACGGCACCGGGAGCGAGGCGTCCGACGCGCCGGGCTCCGCTGCGGCCGCGTCCGAGCACTGGCTGGCCGGGATGAGCCTGGTGATGGGTCTCATCGTCCTGTCCATCGTGTTCGGGAACATCCTGGTGATCGTGGCTATAGCCAGGACGCAGCGGCTGCAGACGCTCACCAACGTGTTCATCGTGTCGCTCGCGAGCGCGGACCTCATCATGGGGCTTCTGGTTGTGCCATTTGGCGCGGCGCTGGAGGTGCGCGGCTCCTGGACGTACGGCTCGTTTTTCTGCGAGTTCTGGATCTCCGTGGACGTGCTCTGCGTCACCGCCAGCATAGAGACTCTGTGCGTAATCGCCATCGACAGGTATGTGGCCATCACCTCACCTTTCCGCTACCAGAGCTTGTTAACCAAAGCCCGCGCCAGGGCGGTGGTGTGCGTGGTGTGGGGCATCTCCGGGCTGGTCTCCTTCCTCCCCATCCTCATGCACTGGTCCCGCGACAGCGTGGACACCGCCTGCTACAACGACCCCCACTGCTGCGACTTTGTGACCAACAGGGCTTACGCCATCTCCTCATCCATCATTTCCTTCTACATTCCGCTCCTGGTCATGATTTTTGTTTACGCGCGGGTCTACAGAGAGGCCAAAATGCAGCTGAGGAAGATCGACAAGTGCGAGGGCAGGTTCCACAACACCCTCACCGGACTGACCTCCAAGTGCAAGAAGAGGCCATCGAAGATCCTGGCGCTCAGAGAGCAGAAGGCGCTCAAGACTCTGGGCATCATCATGGGGACGTTCACCTTGTGCTGGCTGCCCTTCTTCATCGTCAACGTGGTGCGGGTGTTCTGCGCTGAGGTGGTGGACAAGAACCTGTTTGTGTTCCTGAACTGGCTGGGCTACGTGAACTCCGCCTTCAACCCGATCATCTACTGCCGGAGTCCGGACTTCAGGAAGGCCTTCAAGAGGCTGCTGTGCTGCCCGAGGCAGGCAGACCGCCGGCTGCACATCAGCTCCTGCGATCTGTCGCGGTGCTCCGGCGGCTTTGTTTCCGCCCTGGAGCCCGGGACGCTGGAGATGTGGTCTGACTGCGCCGCGCTGGACAAGAGCGACAGCAGCCTGATGGGCACCGGGACACTGTCTCACTCTGAGTCCCAGATGTGAAGGAAAATAGTGAAATTAACTTATTGTTATTGCTTAAAAAGGAAAAACAAACAAAAAGCCTTCAGCCTGTGTGAATAAAAACCAAATCGATCGTCATCTTGGGACAGGAATTTCCTTGAAGGTGTTTTCAAAAATGTTGAACAAAGAGACGAAATTTGGAAAATCCTGCAGAACCAAACACTTTCAATATATAAAAAAATCTAAAATCCAAATTTGCCAAAAAAAAAAGAAGGTAGTGAGCTTTTGTTATATATTTTTAAACAATTATTTAGTTACTAAAATATTGTGGTTTTGTTTGTTTTGTTTTTTACTCTAAACGCAATGGATAAATGACCCAATTTATACCTGGAGTGCATTTTAAAATGATCCCACCAGAGCCGGACCAAGGCAGAGGCGATCTAAGCTGCTGCTATGCACTCCGTGGCCAACAGGGGGCTCTCAACGTTTCACATTTGTTTCTGAATTTAAAATGATTTAAATTCGTTTTTATAAATGTCTTGACAACTTATGAATTTGTCATCTTTTTTGCAAATGTAATTTTTGTCACAAAAGCAAACATTTAAATAATTTCCATTAGTTATTTGAAAGTGCATGATGCTACTTTTATATTTTTCTCCAAAAGTTTCTGAATTTCAAGTTGAAAAGAAGAAGAACGTTTTGTTTCAGATGCAAAACAAAAGTTCTGAAAATTATTTTCAAGAGTGCAAAAAAAAAAAAACAGCTTCACTGTCAGATGAATTAATGTAAATAAGAAAAACCTTTAAAATTGTTCATTTTTATTTTTAATTTTTTGATGATTGACATTCAGTGGAAATTTCAGGAAACTTGAAAACACACACAAAAAAATTATTATTCCTTTTGGTAGATGTAGAAAATGCCTAAGAACTTTTAAGTGAGATTACATATATATATATAACATGATGTGTCAGTGAGAAAATCAAGGAAAAACAGACATTTTTCTGGTTGTAAAATGTCTGAAAGTAAATTATACCCAAAGGAACAGCACATCCACCAGCCTAATTTATTCCTAAAAGTATTTTTTTAACCCTAATTTTCTTAAGATTAAGCAATCACATATTTATCCATGGTGGGTTTTAAAATCTACCATGATTTTTACAGTTAAAGCCGGCCCAAAGCATAAGTGCACCAAGCTCCTGGTTAGGATCCCAAACATAACCCTAACCCTAATCAACACTCTACAGTTCGCTATGGACCTACTTTTAAATGTCTCAGAGGATTTATGAATATAATTTATAAAAGAAGTCATTAAAATGTTCCTATTAAGTTAAATTTTTTGATGAAAAACGAGGATTTAGAAAGTTTTCTTGTGTTTTTAAAACATCTACCAGCAGGTAAAGACCTAACAGAATATAGTTTGCTCTTATAAAATTGTTCACACTTACTGAAGGGATTCATTCACAAAAACTAAATATTTAAATTTATTGGAAAAGCAGTCTCATTTTTATCTGTAGAGATGATTATATAAAGCAGGTTTTAAAACAATCCCCCATCATGATGCCAGCAGCCTGTGGCAGAAGCAAGCAAAGCTGCTGCTTGGGACTCCAAACCACCAGGGGGCGCCCCAAGCATACTAGACTACTAGAACACGGGCATCAAAACGTCTTATTTGTCATCACATTAAGAAAGCAAACTATCAAAAACTTTCAAATAAATGTAGTTTTGTTTTTTTTAGGTTTATTTTCTTTTTTTATTTTTATTTTGCAGTTTTTCTGAGACAACAGGGAAACAAAATGAAACCGATTAAAGGATTAAGTAGCCGCAGGGGCTGCTGGGTTTAATCCAAGCTGGGCCTCAGACACGCTGGGGTTTATCTCTGTTGACACCAGATATAAGCTGTGTTTGTGACGGCTTAGCGCCCCCTGCTAGCCTGCTGGGCCTGAGAGAAATTTAATTCTTACACCACCTGTAAGAATTCAATGAGAACACAAGTTGCTCTAACAGAGAGGAAAACCTTCAAGGCTTAAAAGTTCCCACTGAGCCCGATTTCAGCATTAAGGCTGCAGCTGCAGCTGGGCTGTTGTGTATGTTGGCAAAACTGCTAGTTTAATCTCAGTGCATGTTAAGTATTTTTTATTCTTTCATTGTAGATCCGCAGCACTTTTTTTCTTTTATATGATATTTTCTTTATAAGTCACATTCTGAGGTTAGATCTGAATAAATAAATGTCATACCAGCCAGGATCAGTTCATCTTCAACTTTTAGATGCACCACTTTCATGTTGTATACTAGATATTCAAAAGTAAGAATAGACATTGTTTAGACTGATTTCCAACCATAAAATGTCCACTGAGTTAACAAGAGTTCAAATTAAAAGATAATTTAATCATTTATGTTTTCTCTGAGTTTAGAAAGCATTTTTCTTACAGATTAACCACATGCGCTGTCATGTTTGAATTTAGAGAATAAACTATGATTCAGGATTTTAATAAGTCTATATTTCACATCTTTACACCCTTAGGACTACAAAATTATTAGGTAATTTTAAATTGAATTTCTCTATGTGTATCTACTTTAGTATAGCAGTTTTTGTTTACTACTTGAAATTGTCTAAACAGCAGAAAAATCTCATTAATAGCCTAAAAAAATAGTAGATTTTACCATTTAATTTCATATTTTCACACAATTCTATTTATTAAACAGATGATTTGAGTCATTCTTTCCAGTCTTAACACATCCAGAGATAGTCAATTTAATTAATCATTAGCTCATTAATTCAATGTATTTAACTTGTATTGAATTTTTTTCAGTTAGGTTTATCAACACAGAATCAACAAAACAAAAACATTCAGAAAACGTCGAGCACATTATTAATAATCCTAATAATGATTTAAAGCTTTCAGATTCAGTTTATGATGTCAATTTGAAAAAAGTTTCAATCAAAGAAAGACCAGCATCAAGTCATAAACTTTTCTGAGCAAGTATGTGGCGACAGTGGACGGTTTGTTTCATTAAAAAATTAACTTTTAAGCTCTAAATGTATTAAACAAAAAATTACAAACATCAATACAAAAATGCAAAAAAGTAAGATGAAATATGTTTGGAGCCCCCTGATGGCAGAGTGGTTTAACTGGTGGGCCCTTGATAAAAATCGGCCCCGGGCCTCATTCAGCTTTGGTCCGGCTATGGAGCGCTGCGATTGAGAAACACAGCACACACAGATTTTAAAAGAAAAAACTAAAAACAAAAAAAAAAAAAAAAAAAAAACGCACGCCCTGTCTTGTAATTTACTCCCCCAAATATTTTTATTTATTTATTTTTTGTCTAAATTACTTGGATAAGCAGTCACTTCCATGTCTGCAGAGATGAGGATGATGATTGGCTCTCAGATAATCCCACATCATGATGCTTACGGTACCGCTCCGGTAAGCTGGTTGATATTTAAAAGCATTTGTCTTGTATAACTCACAATGTGTTTTTACCTCACAGCCGTCGGCAAGTGCAATTTGTACTATGACAGGTACTTGTTTATATTAAACATCATGTAAAATAAGACGTGTATTTATTCCGCCGTGTCTTTTAAAGTGAGGAGAGTGTTTGCGGGGCGGACGCCCGTTGTACATATTGCAGCGCGAAGTGATGAAATGATGATGAAGAGCCTCTCTCTTGCTGTCCGTCTCCGGCTTTAAGAGCTGCTGTGAGGTGGTGCTTTAACGTCTGTGAAAATAAAAGGAAGTTTCAAGATCATTCAAGACGTATTTCTTGTGGATTCAATTGAATGAGATGTTTTCTCTAATTAACTGAACACTTGTAATTTACTTACTGAATGGAAATGCTGTCTGAACCAACTTGGCACCTCGTGGAAAAGTTGTTGCCTCATGAACCTGGTTGTAACTAGAAGTGCACTGATCGCAGTTATCTGTCCCGATCTGCCGATACTGATATTTAAAAAAACAAACAAAACAAAACAAAAAAAAACAATTAACACTTGCAGGTGTTGTAAAGTTTAAAGGTAATGGTTGTTTACACCAGACACGTGTTAAAAACGCATCTGTCGCTTCAAGTTAGACGTGTTTACACTTTGCAGACATTTTGCTCTGCAAATATCGTTTTGTGCATCAGGTGCATTTTACATTCAAAGTCTCTGTGGAGATGCATCAAAAATACTCTAGGCGTTGTTTTCTGCTGCTCACCTATTTGTCGGACAGGATGGATGCATCCAACGCTCCAAATTTTGCTGCACGAAACACATCACAATAGGCTATCAACGCACATCCACATAAACTTTGAATGTAAACCAGACGCGCAAAACACGTTTGGTGTGAATGCACCATAATTAGAAAGGTTGGAAAAGACTCAAAATATAGCAATAAAGTTGCTAAATTGGTGTCAGGAATTGATCGGTGCAGCGCTAGTTAGGTGTCATCATAACTCATTTTGTCAGGCAATAAATTGTCCCACAATTTATTGTGATAAACGATAATATTGTTGTTTTGAGACAATTCTCAAGAAACATGATAGTGATAATGAAAGAATAATGCAAGAACACTTTCTCAAAGATCAATCAGAAACTTAAAATGCTGATGAACATTTAAACACTGGAACTGGAAGTTATTTGAAATATCCGAAATATCCAAAACAACAGAAACAACAAATAAAATGACCACTGAAGTGTTCGTCTTTCAAAAAGAGAATAGATTAGACCAAAGCACCAGACTGAAGACCAAGTTTGGTACAAAGAGAGAAAAAAGGAGAAAAATGATAAATTAAGCAAATCAAAATTAATGGGTTTTTTTCAGTGATTAATTGATATATTATTTCTTGTGACAGACCTGCTGCTGGCCGCCACATGCTGCTGTCAGGTTTGTGGCAGTAACTGCATTTCCATTGACAATATAATTATGCAAATTGGAATTCTGAAAACAAAGATATCAAATACATTTTTTGATGAAAAGTTCTGGAGGTGGTTGTTTGGCTGCATCAAATTTGGTGTATTTCACAAAATTGCAATGGAAGCGCTGTTTTTGCGTCACAAAAGTCATTTTGATCAACAAGAGGCTGGAGGAAAAGACGACAGGAAGTGGTAGGAGGATGATAACACAGCATGGTTTTGAATCATGTGGTTTCATTTATTTCTTATTTAATGGAAATACTGCAATTATAAAATTGTGTTTTTCTGATATTAATGGAATATTGACTACGTTTTGTGCATTTTTGTAATGGAAATGCAATAATTAAAAGATGCCTATCCGAAAAAGTGCAGCATTTCATATATTTGCCATTTTTGAGTCTAGAAGCTGCAGAAATCAGGACCAAAGAAGAAGTGACACCTTTTTTTCCTGAGTCCTTAAATTTATTATGGATGACAAGATTTGAATCATAATGAGGCATGTGAAAATGTACGCGCCTTCTTTCAGATTACATTTCTATCCATAAATAACAGGTTTGTCTTTTCAGCTTCTGTTTGTGATGCAAACACGAGCTGAATGAGGTTTAGGACATAAAAGAAAAACTCTGTTTCAAATGTTGCCTGTTGGACACAGAGAGCGTTTGTCTAACGTTTGTGCAGCTGATGCACGATCCGGTGTTTTCACTCTCACCTGAATCCTCCCTGATGCTGACCTCAGAGCAGCATCTCCCCTGAGCGTCGCTCTAAAAGCCAATAGAAAATGTTTTAATAAACATCATGCCAGCTGGTGTTATGAAGTGGCTCTTACAGAAGAGATTTGCTCTTCCCTCTGAGGAATATTAATAAACCCTTAAGCTGGGCACCTTTAAAATGCATTAGTGTGATGTGTTATGCTAATGTCGCCCTCCTAAAAGGAGTGAGCCATACATCTTAATCAGGACCTTAAAAAAAAAGAAATACTGAATGAAAGTGAGCTCAGCTGTTTTGGCTTCAGAACATTGTTTAGACATGATTTGCTGAGGTAATGAGTGCGAATGAGGCCCAGTTGTTTTTTTGGGGGGAAAACAACAACCTGAAAGCAGAAACACCGATGGCCTCCTGCCAGAGACGTGCATTATCACTGACCATTGTTTGTTTGTTTGGCCAGGACTTTACATTTGGCGTTGAGCTCCCAGATGGAGAAGCTAATCAGCTGCTTTAAGAGTAATTGCTTTAAATTGCATGTGTATCAGCAGACATTTTGACTGCTCAAAGGGAAAGTAAACTGATTACCATCAACATGACCTCACTCAGGGTGAGACGCTGCACCTTATCCGTTAAATCCTTCCAGGAAGGTTTTGGAAAATAGCTGAAATAGTAAAATCCCGAAAGAGAGCTCAATTTATAGCAGTGCAAGCTTATTGGTCAAGAACAAACTTCTCAGATATTCAAAACAGACTTTCCTGTCCAGGTAGAATAGGAAGAAGTAAAAAACATCAGTCTCTTTTTATGAAATGATCTTCAAATCATTTATTTCACAAGTAAAACAAACACTTCCATTCCAAATTTTAATATTTTACAGTAAAGATTTGTGAAAAATAGCAACCAATGTTTGAATCCCACATGGCAAAACAGTACAAGGACCCACTCTCGATCTTTAGCTCCCCAAAGTCTCTTTGGTTTTTAAAATTAATTTATTTGAACTTTTTTCCAAGTTCCACCAAAATCCACAAACTCACTCTTATTGTATGAACACACTGTTTATTGTTGTTTTTTTTAAAAAATATTCTTATGTACAATTATACCTAGAGATGCATTTACATATGTATTATCAATAGTTTGTGTCCCTCTGTATTTTTAACCATCCACATGTCATAAATTTGGTTTCATGCAGACTTAGGTTTAGATCAAAACATCAAGTAATATCTAAGAAGTTCACCATTTCCACAAATTTCTGCTTATTCATAATTTAACTTTTTACCCATTTCTACACCACATCTGTGGATACCAAAACCCTACCAAAGTCCACGGGTGTCAAACTTGAGGCCTGTGGGCCAAATGCGGACCCCAATGCTTCTTATATGGCCCTAGATTATAGACTGAACACTAAGTGTGCCTAAATATGATGTTTTCAATCAAATTAATGCACTTTTTATCTGTTTACTGCCAAATTCTGTCAATTAGTCCATCCAGTTTCTTGAGAATTATTGTGGAAATTCACACAAAATCAACAAATCCCACCACTTTTTTTACGCTAATCATTAGGAATTTTTCTCAAAAATTGTCAAAAACTTTCTTACTTGTTCTAAACAGCTGCCTCAGCCTTAATTGATGTCAGATTATATTCCATGATCTATCCAGGGAGTAATAAAAAGTTTAATTTATCATCACTATTGCAAGTTAGTACCACAAACACTTTGATTTTCATTGCAAAAAATCACAAGAAGAATCAGGATATCCTGGAGGAACTGAAAAGATGTTCAATAATATTTAATTTTAAGAATTCATTGATATTTTTACCAATTCATTCTGGCACAACCGGCCCTTTAAGAGGACTCATGATCATGATTTGGACCAAAACGAAAATGAGTTTGACACCCGATATAGATGATATGTCAGGATTTATTGTGTCAAATGCTTTGTATACGTCTTATTGCCGATGCTTAGAGTTATTTCCTCTGTTAGATTGATTATCGCCTGGGAATGAGATGTTTTACGAGCCTTTTTCACTGATTCAAACTTCATGTTGAACAATGAAGTCATTACAAGACCGACACATGGTGCACCAACGCTGAAGTGGGCGATGGCATTTAAATTTGTTGTAATTAATCCAAAAGATGCCAAAAGAAGCTCAGCAGCAGCGTGAACTGATTACACAAAACAGTTTTCATGTTGTTGACGCCAATATTTGTCCTTCCATCTGAGAAGCTGCAGCAGAAACTAACTAATCTGGTAAGTTCAGTGTTTCTTGATCTAAATCCTGCTCTTTGGGTGTATTTTATTTTTGTACTGAACTGCTTGTAAACCCAACACATATTGGGATTGCTCAAGTGTGGAAATTGAGTTTTCTTGCACCGCTTTTCTAATCTGCACTTTGGCTTAAACTGAATTACTTTCTGTGGGGCTGATTAGATATTTAAGCTTCTGTAGTTATTAGAAAGTTTGTAACATGTCAGTAAATGTAGATTAAATGTCTTCATTTACAGGACACAACGGATTCATGCTGGAGCATTTGTCATGTGTGACAAATAAGAAAATAACAGAAATTTGCAGTAATTCTTTTAAAATACTTTAATTATTGGGTTTTTTTAAGGAATAGTAGATTAACAGATATTGCCATTTTTTGGCAATATTTCCAAAATTGTGAAAAAAGTTAATCATTTATTGCAGTAAAAATAATCTCACACAAAAATATGTGTTGCCACTTACCAGACACCATCTGTATTATTTAAATTCATCCAGTGAGTCCTGCATCTCAAACTTCTCACTGAAGGTGTTGAAAGAACATCTAAATAACTTTTAGGTAGCAGAACCATCAGGGAACTGATTTAGAGAAACAAGACATTAAGACGTTATGCAAATGTAATTTTCTTCAGAGGGGTTTAGTTGGAGCAAAGGGTAGCTGCAATTTGTCCAAACAATAAATGTCAGCACCTGAAGATAATTACTGCTGATTGCTAATCATCACAACCCTATCAGACCCCAACAGAGACGCTAAATTAAAATAAATATGCAAACATAAAGTGGTACATGTTGCACTATTATACATAAGCAGAAAACAATTGTTATATTTCTGCTTAAAGGCTCAGATTTTTTAATTAGTCATGTTCTTTCTGACTCATATTGACTAGTAAACCTTTTTTTTCTCCTTTTGTTGCTTAATTTCATACAGAGTGTCAAAGTTTAGAGCCAAAACCAGGTGCTGCTCTTCATGGGTCCATCTGCTCAGATTCCCGGGCGGAGTCGGTCCTCTGTGGCCTCCATCTGCCTGGTTTTGGCTCAGATGGAATCACTGTGGCTCTCATGGAGCTCCGGTGAACACGGTCGGCCGCAGACACTGTTTGAGTTGCATAATGTAAACTGAATGACCTGCCAGCGTGTGAACCGAGGTTCAGAGCAAAGCACATTGACGCCTACACCATTGCTTTGTTTGAGAAATATTTTTTTCCATGAAATCCAGATACTATTTGGGCTTAAATATAAAAACTCTGACTTTTTTTTTTTCATTAAATTTTTGATTTCTGATTTCTTTTTTTTTCGCTTGCTAAATTTTCTAAAAATTAGATTACAAAAATTATTTTTAAAAACTGACTTTTACTTCAATCATCCCTTCTATGAGTTGTACAATGGAGAAGGCCTTTAATTGATTAAGAAATCAATTAATCCCATGATAAATTAAAAGAAACCCTTCACTTTCATTTGCTTGATTTATCAATTTTCTCTCTCTTTTTTTTTTTTTTTTTACCAAAAATTGAATGACAAAAGTCTTCAGTCTGGTGTTTTGCTCTCAACTTGACTTTTTTTTTTAAAGATAATTTTGTTTTCAGAGACTTCATAATTAATTTTATTTGTTGTTTCTGTGAATCGTCCAGTCCCAGTGTTTAAATGTTCATAGAATTTAGAGAATGTGTTCTTGCCATTATCACTATAATTATTCAGTCTAAAATAAATAACATAAATATATTAGAATCTAAAAGAAGGAAACATGATGACAACATGCAAACTTATTTTCCAGCAGCGTTTAAATTACTTTGAAGTATAAAGATTTTTCAGTGACTTTGTTTCTTTCCTCTTTGTTGAGCAGCTAAGCTGAAACTAATAAAAAGAATTTAAAAAAAAAACTTGATTCCTTTCATGTTTTAGACTCAGTCAGCGTCAACTCAGGGCTTTAACTTGTCAGTCCTCTGTAGAACAAACAAACAGGAGACATTTTCCAGACACACACAGCAAGCAGGGGACGTATAGTTTCAGCTTCAACTTGACGAACTTGTCTTGTTCTTTAAGTTTGCTGACAAATTTGTCATGAAGCAAAATTTAAAGAACACCGGAGCCACAGCAAGTCCCTTTGATTAGTTTATTAATGCTTCGGAGAGATATGTTGGATTTTTGCAATGCAAGGTTGACTAAATCTCTTAATCTAAGAAAATAACAAAAACTGGAATTGAAAAAACATTTTTCTTTCACTGAAATAAATAAAACTGGTAATTAATGGGGAATGACTAACTTGAATTATATTGTGCTCTTAAAAAACAAAAACATAATGAAACTATATATTTAATATCTTTCATTTTTGTAAAAGTGTAAACAAACTAATACATTACACTGTAAAAACACAAAATCTTGTCAACTGTACACTTGACATAAGAAAATCAAACTTACAAATAATTTTCAGCACGATGTAAAAGCTTGTTTTAAATAAACAAGTTATTAATATTGATGGAAAAGGTACTAGCTTCATTGGCAGATAAATTCACTAATAAAGACATTTTTCCCATGTAATCGACATAATCAGCCAATGGAACAAATATATTTTCATCAACAATAAGGAGTTATTGATTTCAAACAAGCTCCTACATGTTTATGAAATGTTACTTCTAAGTTAGTTTTGTATCATTTCAAGTGTACAAATATATTTGATCTGGAAATAGACAAAAATCTACTTTTTAAACAATGTTTAATGAACAAAAAACCCCAAAAAATTAGCAAACACACTCTAAAAATTAACTAAATTAGACAAAAACTCTAATGAGTTTAGTTTTATTTAACTCTGGTGGGATGGACCAGACGGCCACATAAATATTTTCAGCTCAAAAGGGCTTATATTTGACCATGGAGTTACATAAGACAGAAGGTAAAATATACTGTAATAACATTCATGATGAGGCTCCTTTCACCCTAACCCTAACTCTATCCTAACCCTAACCGGACGAGGCTGTTATCTGCTCCTCAAAGAGCTGCTATCATGCTCGCAGCTTCAGCCCAAAGGACACGCTCGGTGCTTTATGAATTCAAGGGTGGGCATCTGAGCTGATAGGGGCCTTTCTCTGGGCTAAAAATAGCCACCGGCCTGGATTGGAGATTTGAACCCATTGCCCGCTGCTGGCTGTGTGGAAAACGGTAAGATTCACCAAGACGTGACCAGAATCTACGAGGAAGCAAATTTCTCTTCTATTGAATGAAGTTTTTTTTTTTTTTTTTTTTTTTTTTTTTTTTTTTTTTTTTTAGCAGGTTGCTGTCAGTTGGTGCGGAGGCGTTTTTTTTCTCCCTTAATGTCTGCAGACTCATCTGTGGGGAAAGAGGAATAAATGAAGCAACAGGCGCGGTGGTGAATTTTAATGGGAGCAGACTGACGTGGTGACTGAGTGTATTGTTCACCAAACTGCTCTGATGGCCGCTGTTTGGATGCAAAACAACAGACAGGGAGACGGTTTCAATGTTTCAATTCCGGCTCGATGGAATTTGGATAAATTCACTTCATTAAACTTTTTTTTTTTTTTTTTTCCATTTTAAGGCTTTCAAGTTTTCAACCTCAGACTGATGAATGACACCGTTTCATCTTTGTCTTTTCAGGAATTCACTTTTGATGTACGATGTAGTCACACTGTGCCTTGCAAAAGTTTTAATTCTCATCAAATACTACAAATAGAAATCTGAAAAGTGTGGCATGCATTTGTTTTAAACCTGAGTTTTACGTTTGCTCGTTTTTTTTGTGAAACAGTTGTCAGATTGAATGAGGATCTCTGAGGATGAATGTTCAAGTCTCACACAAGATTCTCAACTGTACTTTGACTGGGCCATTCTGAAAAGTGTAGCTAACATCACTGCAGACCCCACACATCCTGGACACAGACTTCTTAAAAATTGATATCATACACATCTGCATTAATTCATACTATTTTGTGAAAAAATACATACAGACTTAAGAGATTTATTTTATTTTTTATATACATAATCATATTTTCAGTTTCTTTTTTGAGAGCAAAGCAGAACTGAAGTCAAATTTCTTGTTCTTGGACACAAACTTTGTTAATGAAACTGATTCGGATTCTTTGTCTACTTATTAGGTGACCTCCAACTGGAAATGGAGTCAATTTAAGAATAATCTGAAGTAGTTTAATGCTATTTTGTGTCAGTCTGCCACATGAAATCCTTCTGAAATACCTTCTACTTGTGAAAAAGCTAAAGGTATAAATACGTTGACTCTCTTGAAAACAGATGATTGATTTGGTTTCATAAACATTTAGGAAAACTTAATGCAGCAGTCATGTTTTAAAGCTGCAGAAAAACAATTAGAAAGCTGTGCGTTAAAAATTCTCCGAGTTTATTTTTTAAGTTGCAGAAGCGATTCTGCTTTAAATCCTCTGCTCTAACTGACAGTGCAGTCGTATAGATGACCTCAAACACTGCTGTTTTAGAAGTAAGATGCACAACTAAGAAATTACTAGAGTGATTGGGGTTGTTATGCATTTTAAACTTGTCATGAGGTATAAAAAAATAAAGACACCAGAGGAGAAAAATTTACTCATTTTCTTTTATTCCCTGGAAACACAGTATGTACAGACATCCAGATTCATATTTTTTTCTTTAAAAACATCTTATCATTTTACAGGGATTATCTACAAATGCATATATTATGATCACAGTTTAAATACTCCACAAAATAGCAATGGGGGAAATCATCGCAGAAGAACAACAAACACCTCATTTGTTTATTTATTTTTTCCTTTCACAGATCGGCACAAACTGAACACCATTTTCTTCACAAAACATGATCCATTCATCCACACAAAGCTGCAGCATGGCTTCATTTCAAGGCTTTCAAGTAACGCAGCAAATCTGGGATCAGCAAATACCCAGCCTGATTTGAAGGGGAAGCAGGGGAACAATCTGAAAAAGCCCATTAGAAAGCCTCAGAGTTGTGGGCTTAATTGGAATGCCCTGTGCCAGTCTGTTGCATAGGCAGCTCCTCAATTCTGTATCAAAAACAAACAGCAAGACTGAAAAAAAAACAACAACTGAGCACCTTGAAGGAGAATTCATCTGTGAAGCAATCCGCCAACTTTGCACTAAACAAAGCCAAATTTAAGGGAAATTTTATTTTTGTCTTAATGTTAGTGTTGTTTTGTTTCAATATGAGATTAAATTTAAGCTTTCTGTTGCCTGCAGGTTTTCAAATTGATCCTATTTCGTAAAGAAGGGAAATCGGATGCAATAAACGTGAAGTTCCATCAAATGCAGGGCAGTTGCTGCCGCAGAAGAGAGGCTTTAAGGTCTCTGTGACCTCGATAGCGAGACTTTCATCTTTATCTTTATTTACGTAGCGGTCCACTTTTGCATAGCCTCAGGGGAAATGGAGACAGGATAAGCCTACAACCATTCATGTCCATTTAAAACAAGAAAACAAAAGAAGGGCAGACATATCTTTTGTAGCGCTGCAGCAAATGAGATCAGATGAGGTGAGCGGAAACCAAGCATTGTGTAACAAAAGTTGCTCTTTAACCTCCATCTTGCAGGGCTTGAATGATAACGCTAATATGGTTTTCTTTTTACAGAGAGCTGCAGGCGTGTGCATGCTCATGGTGGCAGATCGACTCTGGAAGGAAAAAAACTGGCCTTAATGGTCCCTCTAACAAGCCTGGGCAGCTAAAGCATGTACACCGGGTGTAAACACAACAGCTGGAGAGGTTAAAGAAGGCACACATGCATAATTGAAATATTCAAATGTCTCACAAACAAAGATAAAAACAATACACCAGCAGTCACAAAAAACAAGTGGAAATGGATTGCACTTTGTCCCTGGGTATCTTTTTTTTTTTGCTTTCTTGAGCTGCGGCTACAAACTTCCAGCTCTGCCTTTGATTCTTCTTCTACTCTCCATTTAATGTAATGGGGCTACAAAAAGAGAAAGGGGAGTACAAACATAAATATGTCTGTTTTCTCAACAACAACAAAAAAAGAAGTCACATCCAACAAAGAGTGCAAATACACTTTTTGTGCTCAACGTGTAAAACCAGGAATGGTTAAAATGCCACAAAACATTTACACGTAGATGTCACAACAAATGTTGGGTTTAACCAGAACAGGGTTTTAGTGAGGATAAGCAAATAAGAGTTTGGAGCACTAATCACTTCAAGATTAGAGGCAGCTATCTTCAGTTTTGGATGAATACCGATTAGCCTGTACCAGAAGCTGAAGCTAACAGCTAGCTTCGGAGGGGGGCCGTGATAAAAGCGGACAACTACCTTCTTAAAACAAACACAATCTGAAAAATGTCAGACTGGTTCATGAGATTTACATTCCCCCAGCTTCTAAAGCGTTAGTCGAATGTGTTCATTAGTTTTTTTTTTACGTGGAAACTGATATTAATATGTATAAAGGAAATGGAAGTTTGACGCGGTGCGCCATAAATTACATTCCTGTGTGAAACGCACACTAAGTGGAACCTGTCAAGTGTTTCCAGGCAGGTTAACTGGCGGATGGAAAAAAAAAAAATCATTTTACTTAAGAACTTGAATTTAGAAATGACATCAAATCAAACTTTATTGGGTTCAAGTTTTAATTTGCGTTGTAAGTGTACAAAGCTGTCTGGAGTGTTAGCATCTCTTCCTAGCCACAGAGAGGCTAACTACAGTGACGGCATTATGACTTATAACCTTTTAGTCATAATTAAACTCACTTCAAAATTCTCAAACATTCCCTTAAGAACAAAAAAAGTAATGAGGATAATAAAAACTACAACTGCAATTAAATAAAAAAAACAGATACATTTTAGGAAGAAGAAAAAATACATTCATTGTGGGAGAATTTAAGACCAGCTGCACATTTTCACCTTTCATTGGACTTTAAGTTTAATCACAGATCGATTTCAGCTTAATGCAGCTGAACAGGCGGTGGTGTTATGCTGCCGGCTACAGGGGAACATTGCAAAGATGCTTCCACCTGCGCCACACAGATGAGAGGATACGTTGCTCCACTGGCTGTATGTGCTGCGCAGGGTGGGGAAAAAATAATAATAATAACAATAAAAAAAAATCAACATAAGAAAAATGTAGCAGAAGAATTGAGGTTCTCCTAAAATAAAAATTTATCTGCTTTTGTTTTGTTTTGCTTCAGATGAGTCAGCAAAAACATATTTGGCTTACTTGTAGATAGACTTCATGGGATGCTGGCAATGACCGATTCAGTTTAGTTATGTTCAGGATTCCTAAAAGTCTTTGGAAATAATTACATACTCTTCCAGTCGTCTTGGTTCTTTAGATTCATTTTCAAATTTAAAAGTATTAAAGTTTATATTATGGCAGACATTTCTACAATTAAAGGGTTTAATGGGACGAAAAAAAGGATACAAGGAAGGAAACCAAGTGAAGAAAGATGCAAAGAAGGTGAAGGAAGTGAGAAAAAACACAAGGAAAGAAAAGAAGAAAGGAATAATGAAAGAAGGAAGGAAGGACACAGAAGGAAGAAAGTAGAGAAAAATAGGTAGGAAGGAGAAAAATAGGACACAGGGAAGAAAGGAAGGAAAAAAGGATTGATGGGCAGGGGAGCAAAGAAGGATGCAAAGAAAGGATGAAAGAAAGAGAAAACAATAGAGAGGAAGAAGGGGAGGAAAGGCGTAATTAGGGAAGGACACAAAAGGAAAAAAATAGGACAAGACAGTAAGGGAAGAAGGAAGAAAGAGAGGAAAGTAGTAAAGAAGGAAGGACACAGGGAAGGAAGAAAAGAAGAATGAAGGAAGTAAATAAAAAAGGAAGGGCACAGGGAAGGAAGTAAGTAAAGAAGGAAGGACGTGGGGAAGGAAGAAAGGAAAAAAATAGTAAGAAAGGGAAGATAAGTTGGATGAAAGGCAGAAAGAAGAAAGGCAGAAAGAAGAAAGGATGATACATGAAAGAAAATAGAAGAAAATGGAAGTAAGTAAGAGGAAGGGCAAAAGTCAGAATAGAAAGAATAAAAAACGAACAAGGAGAGGACAGAATAGAGACAGAATTTTATGGCACAATGCAAAAATGTCACGAGAGAAAATCATTTAAAAGCGGGCCAGGCAATAAAGTCTGAAAATAAATATTTTTCTTCAGCTCTTCTCTTTCCATATTAATTCACACCTGGCAAAATACTAAAACCAGATTTCACACTTTCTCTCCAAAATGGATAGGAACCCTGAATCGTTTGACTGGCAATTAGCTTCCACAGAGGTTTAGCTCAACATTCACAACAACGCCGCGAGGAAGTTCAAGTTCGAAGAGCCAGAAGAGTTCTCTTGGCAAAGCTTTGGGGAAGAAAATGTGGGCCAGAAGAGAAGTTCTCGTGTCAGAGTCTATAAATAGAGGTGACACAATGTGGATGGAGTAGCAACGGTTCAAGTAAGCTCAGACATTTCCTCTAAATAGACAGAAACGGTTCAAGAGGTCCCATGTCTCACTGGCACTTACAACGCTCCTTCATTTGTCGGGAATAGAAGTAGAAGTTGCTCAAGTAGTTCATTTTCACTTCTTCCTGACTCCGTCTGCTGGATTCTTCTGCTGCTTTATCAGTTTTTCAATCTCAGAGCCCAGAGTCTGCAGATTCTCCTGCACAAAAGAGAACAAAACAAAAAAAGAAAAGAAAGATGACAGGAAGTTGGTTAAGAAACAAAAATGTATAGAAAATGTTTTACAACAGAAGCAGTTTGTAGAATGATAACAATCAGACCTGGAAACTGAAAAGCTCCATAATTCATAACAATAAAAGTGAAGTTTTGATTTGCCTTTTGTCGGGGCATTTTTTTTTCTTTTTCGTTTTGTTCTGTTATTGTTCTCCCAGTGAGTGTTTCATATCATTGCTCCCCTGCTTTGTGCCAATCGTCCTTTATTTGCTGAAAGGGGAAAAAAAAAAAAAAAAAAAAAAAAAATCTCCAACAGCATCTCAGCATTGTGTTGCAAAAATATTTACTTTTTATTGGGATTTTCACACATGCAGGCTAAATTTGTCTTGCTATATTGCACTTCAAGCTACGTCACATTGGATGGAAAATGGATTTACGTCTGGACTTTAACTAGCCCACTTTAAAAGCATTTAAAACATGCTAGTTTTAGCAGCTCTGCTGGGTGTCCTGAAGCATGCAATATGTGTGCAACACTTCCCAAATGAATGATACCGCTCAGTGTAAGGAATATTGGTTTTAATGAGGCATTTTCAGCAATATCTTTGTTTTTTTGTGTTATTTGTAAGCAAAATCGTTTAATTTGAAATTAAGCAAAATAAATAAATACTATTAATAAACAACTAATGAATACACAATTGAATAAATGTGAACAAATATAAAAATTAACAAATATTTTTTAATGGGAAGCTTATTTTGTCAAAGAATCAAAAGACAATCTAATAACCAAAAGGAAAGGTAAATAAACGAATGCAGTTAATTTGTTAACATCTACAAACTGAAGCCTTTCTTGTTAGTTTGAAGGGAGAATCAGGACCACAAAGGGAGAAATTAACCAAAAGAATCATGAATATTCTGTTTTGACAGCTGAAGCTTCCTTCTGGCTTCTGGGCTGATGTGACAGAAGGAGGACTGAACAGCTGCGCTTAATATTCTAGACAAAGACTAATCTTAAAAAAGTGAAACAGAGGGGAAAAACAAGCAGTCCTATTTTCAAAAGCCTTGGAAAAACCTGAGCACGGCTTCAAAACAACATTTGTGCATTTCTGCAAATTAGCTGAACTGCTGAGGGAGAGCGATGACGCATCCTGTTGTCCGCTGAATTTCTGAATCTGACCCTCCCCCTCGAGAGGACTGAAGCTGTTTTAACCGCGATAAGCCGGGACCACTAATGGTTTCATCGATCTCTGACAGCATTCAGTCGTTCACACGTAGGTAAATCGTCTGCTAAGCTAACGCTCCCTGTGCTTCATTCAGACGGGCCTGTTAAAAGTGATTTTAAAAACAAAACAGTTTATTATTGTCTGGAGATAAAACGGTTCATTATGTGACGCAGGCTATGATGCGAGACGCTTTCTGTAGGAAACGTAGGAGAAAAAAATGTTTAAGTTCTTCATAATCAGAAATCCCCATCGTTTCAGACATTTTAAAAAATAACTAAAAAATAAATAAATAAGTAATTTACAACATAAATTACTCCTGAAAGAAGAAAGGGAAGATGGTATAAGGATAGAAGGAAGGAAGGAAAGAAAAGTATCATAAAGAAAGTAAAGAATGAAGGGAAGGAAGGAAGCAAAGAAGGATGCAAGGAAAGAAGGAGTAATGGATATGAAGAAGGAAACAAGAAGAAAAAATATGAGGAAGGAAACAAGAAAAAAAGGAGAAGAAGGAGGGAAGGAAGAAATAAATACGCTCACATCATCGGCACTAAGCCAGACCTTCATTCAGCTTCTTCCTCCTCTGAGGAGGAGTGATGTGAGGCATGTTTGAGGGGAAATTTACCTTCAGAGTTATGTTCTTCAGCAGCGTGTCCTCCAGCACTGCCTGCAGCTTCCTGTTAATCTCCAGAGACAGGTCCAGGGTCAGGCCGCTGTCCGCTGGGTGGGAGGTGTAAAGCGACGCCATGATGCCTCCCCGCCGGCTGAGGTGGGCCTTGTTAATATCCGAGGCCTCTGATGAGAGGGCCCCTGACTCCTCTCTTAGAACGTAGCTCTGGATAATCCTGTGGGCAGCAAAAAGAGGAATAGGGAGGGAGGAAGCGATGAGTCAAACCTCTCTCTGATAAAAGAGACGAAACAAAGTGAGTGCGTGGTGTCGGCTTGGGGAGAAAATTGCGAAAAGCGAGGTTTCACAGTTAGAGAGCAGAGAGCTTCAACAGAGCAATAAAGCATTTTGTAGCAGCGGAGGCTGGGGGAACATTACGGGAATGGCTATTCCGGGTGGGATCGTTTATTGGACCCATGCGAGCCGGAGCCATTCAGTCATAGTTAGAAAGAATATTATTGTGCTCGTCAATCGGAGGAGCAAAGGTAATGAAAATGGAAGAATTAATATACACTGCAGTGTTCAATTAATCAACTGCATGTTTCGGTTTAGGGGCAGGGGGATAAATCTTCACGTACACGATGAGGTTTCATCGCAATAACAGCTGGAAGTTAAACTAGCAGCTCCAAACTTCCTGTTTTATTTTTCTCAGCGAACAACAGCTGTGTTTCTATTCACTATATAATCGCAGAAACCGGAATTACGAAAAATAAATTTATTTACTGGAAACATTGGAAAATGCGCAACAATGAGCTACTGTACTTTTTCAGCTGCATCAAAAGTACGAGTCGTGATCAACCAATCAATCAAGCGTATTCAATCAAGGCAGCTCAAGGTGCTTTAGGCTACATAATAAACACACAAAATTTCAACTTTATAAAGAAAACAACAATTGGATGTTGCTCCTGGCGCAAAAAACAGAGGGCAACAGGAAGTGGTAGGAGAATGATGATTTGTAATGACTTAAACTTATTCTTTTGTAATTTTAATTGCTTTTCTTACCTAATTTTGTGTTTTTTTGACACATCGCTAAAGTTTTGCATAAATTAGTTATGGAAACATAGCTAGTGATGACAATAATTTGAAGACAGACTTACATGCAACTCAAAACAAAAAGCTATTCATACGTGTGAATTGACGTGAGCAATCTCAGCCATAAAGATGGAAAAAAAATTGTTCTGTACTTAGGACGAGAACTGCAAAACTCCTTCCCATCTGCAGCTCTCAGCTCAAAAAAAGAAGTGAGTGCATCACAGAGTCCAACAGAAAAGGAGATTATCACCAATAATCTCCTGCTCTTCAGATGGTTCAACAATCAATATTTTAAAATTCGCTCAATCCAGCATGATGCCTTTCAGACACGAAAGACTGGAAACAACCAGTCGCCACCACTGGTGTTGTTCTAAGTCCAATTTGGATGTTTCAAAGGTAAGGATGAGCCCAGAAAGATGTTGACAATTTTTACACAACAATGACAAGCTTCAGTCATATATATTGGGAGTTATGTTATGCACCAAGACAAAGCAGTGAATAATTGTGAAAATATCAAATTGATTGATTTTTGTCAATTTTTCTGTTCTGGTTAATTAATTTTTTTTTTCACCAATTTTCTTGTCCATACAGAGTGACATGAGTCCACCCAAGAACATTTTCTTTTTTGACAAACATGCTGTATCATTTTAATCTATGTTCATTTTCATTCAGGTCAATTCATTTAAGGAATGGATGAAACAAAAGCCAGTTTTTTAAAGATATTAGGATATTTTCGTAATTTCTATTTATGTAAGAAAAAACAAAAACAGAAGTTTTAATACGTTTGAGTTGATACTCAAATATAAAGTGTCTCCACTCCTTCTCCACTCGTTTAAATTTCTTGAGCGAGACAAGCAGACAACAAAAACATCTTTATTTGCAGTTCAGGGACCAAAAAACGTATCACCTCTCATAGGTATATTTTGATCTGCCTGGAGGCAGAAAAACATCCCCTCGGGGGAATAAGCTTTGCTCGGTTTTCATGCATCTGGTCATAGGTAGCAGACAAAAACAAAACATAATAATAAAAAACACCCAAACAAGACAAAAAGGGGAAACTGTTTCACATCATGTTATTTAGATGAACTTGATTGGTGTCCTAACAGTTTCATCAGCCTCACCTCCAAACATGTTGAAGACAATCGTAGCTGAGCTTCTGCATGAGAAATATCACAAACCAGACAGGGGGCAAGTTGTAGATTTCAAAGTGTAAAAACAAAACTCGCTGCTACGATAATTAGTTTGCAGAGCTGTGATCAAAGCTGAAGAATCGGTGTATTTTCGGGTGGCGCAGTAGGGAAAGTTAACAGAAAGGGAGACTATGTGAAGGTTTAAGGAAGAATTAGAGCAGAGGAGGGTCAAACGAATACAAAACAATCACAACAGGAGCAGCTACTGCAGCTATCATTACTAACTAAAAATGGAACTATAATAGAGTATAAAAAGATAATCGTCACTAAATAATACACAAACCATTTAAAGTGGTTTGAATCTGTAAAATAGAAGTTTCACTGACTGTATAAACATTGTCATTTCAGACTCCATTGACCTATTATATCAGTGGTGTCTCAAGGTTCTGTCCTGGGCCCGGTATTTTTTATTAATCAATTATTTTTGCTATGTTTTCACTCAATTGGACAGACCATTAATACATTTTGAAATGACATTCAGATGGTTGGAAAAACGTCAGTGTGTGTTCATTGCATATGAGAGTCGTCTGATCAGGCAACACTTATGACTTTTACACTTAGCAGTGAAGCCAAACTTGCGATTTCTCTTGCTGGCAAATCAGAAACAACTTGTTTGAAATAGTAATAATTAAAAAAAATTAAGATACTTTGTGTCAAAACAGGCAGTTTAACTTTTATTTTAAAAATAGGCCCTCCATCTCCTTCAGTTGGCCCAAAACTCTGCAGCAAAACTAAACCAACAGAAGAACTTACATAACTCCAGTTTATTTCAAATTCTTTTAAAAATCCACACCACCTTTCAGTGCTCTGAGTGGTTAAGCTCTTTCCGTTATTGTGGAATTGTTAAAGCCACATCCTCAAACCAAAACCTATTCATAGTCACCAAGGACCAGAAATAAAACTGGAGGGGATTGCAATTTTCCACACAGTTGCTCAATTGTGAAACGGTCTTGCTTTGTCTTAACATCAACTTGGGAGTCTGGACTCATTTAATAAGCAGTGGAAGACAGTAGTTCACTGTCTTTTTAAACAGGTTTTAATTAAGGATGTTTTAATGTCTTTATGAAGTAGATGTGCTAAATAAGCATTACTTAATACTTGAGAGCAAAAAAGTATGTACTTCAACTAAGCTGTAAATTTTTTGGTACTATGGCACTTTTTCCTCCTGAATAAAAGAAAAGATTTCAATAATTTGAATTTACACAATATATGAATTTTACATTTATTGGCGATCTTGGAAGAGTTTTATGCAAAACAGGATTTTATTATCCCATGCAAATAATGTGGAGGTCACAACAGGGATACGCATGCAGATGCCCAAATCTGACTCATTCTGACAAGAGGACGATTATATTTAACATGCAAGCAGTTAATCAGCTCCTTCCTGCTACTGCATGCAGCCACAATCTGTGTGGTGAAAATACTGTCCCTCAGTAAAAAATAACTGAAGATTGATCAACACAAATCTAAAACCCTGCAGTTGAGAAGCAACTTAATGACTGAAGCAAATACAGGTGGAACTTAAATCAAATTATCGTCACAAAAAAGTTAATTTAAGCAATTCACATTACTTACTGCACTACAAAAACAAAATCTTATCAAGTATTTTTGTCAAGTTTGTAGTGCAAATACTAGGAGTGCACTGATTAATGTGACTGGCCAGTTTTCTGGCCAATCACTGATCTATTAATTAGTGTATCTTGCAGATTCAGATTCTGGCCGATACCAAATATTTTGTCTGAAATGTTGCTCAATATAGCAAGAAAGTTGCTGAAATGAAGATCGGTGGATGAGATCCACGTCACATGTAAAACTTGTCCGATCACTGATCTCTCAAAAATTAAGAAAGTTAGCACAAATAAATCAGTGCATGCCTAGAAAATACCTTACTACACTTGAAATAGAAAAAAAACTAACTTACAAATAACTTTTCAGCAAGACATAGGATCTTGTTTCAATGTATCTTAAAGTACTCAATCCACTGGCAGATTTTTTCACTTATAACAAAACATTTCCCCCCCTAAGTAATAAGTAAAAAATAAAAAAAATCTGCCATTGGAACTAGCACTTTTCCCTATTAAGGAATTATTTACTTAAAACAAGATTATATATGTTGCTGAAAAGTTACTTGCAAGTTACTTTGGTTTTGGTATATTGAAACTAGACCAAAAAAAAAGAGAAAGATACTTTGCACTCAGTACTTGGTTGGGGTTAATTTTGCATGAATTAGTGCGTCGATGCAATCGGCCTGAGGCTCTGCTGAAGGGCTGAGGAAGCCCAGGTTGCTTTAATAATGACCTTTAGCTTCTCTGCATTGCTGCCTCTGCTGTCTCTAATAGATTCCTCTGGCATTTCAGTGATATACAGTGATATCATGGTCATTAATGCAGCTAGTTTTGGGAATATGAGTGTGGTAAATGAAATCATATGAGGTTTTTTGAATCAGAGGCAAGCTAAAATTTTGGCTGGGCTGAGCAACTTTGACTCTTTGTGCTTACAAACTCTTCCTCCTAACTGTGACATTCAATTCCAGATAAAATGCAAAAATGATTTATGTAAAGGCATTTTTTTCCTTCCACACAACTTTCAATTAAAATGCTTGGATGCAAAACTCTGACCAGCTGACATCTACTTACAATGGAAACCAGATATTTATATAAACCAAATAAAAATACACAAATTTTTTCCTCACTGTCTGATGTGAACTTCAACTAAAACTTTTAGCTTGATTAGAATTACCAAAATTTCTATTAACAAAATGTGTAAATGTCTTTTCATTCAGTGTCTGTAAATGTGTTCGTAACACAATATTCACTGCTTCTGTAAGCAATCACACTTCTTTCTTATTCAATAAAGAGCCATCTTTCTGACCTTTTCCTTCCTCTTTCAAAACTAGTCTCACATAATATTTCAAGTTTTTAGAGAAAAAACAATTTGGAGCTCTCAGCTGTACATCATAATAAAGGAATAAAGCAATACATGTTTGTAATTTTCTCTCTTTTTGTAATGATTCTGTGTTTGTCACATTTTCTTGACTGAATTTAACTTTTCAGTGATATGTTAGTTAATTGAGATATCTGTAGATCTGTGTAGCAAAAAAAAAAAAAGCAGAAAAATGCAAGAAGCAAAAGAAGCTGCCACCATATACTTTCCTCATCCATCCACTTTCACACTCACAAATACGACACCTGAGCTAGCACAGACATGAAATGAAACTTACCTTACTAGGCTTTCAAAGGTCCATACATATATGGACCCCAAATCCATCACGATAGTTTTTAATAAAACAAAAAAAGTGACATAAATTACACATATGGCTACATGATTAGAGAAGCGGCATGCAGAGACCAGCGGGAGGATGACAGATGTGAGAGAAACATGCAAGATGGCAATTTAACAAAAATGTAACTCTCCAGTTCCTTTTTTCCCTTTTAGAAAGCAGTAACACACGGACGCACATTGAGATGGCGGGAATGATTTAGCCAAGAAGATGCAAAGACGGAGAGATGGGGCAAAATGAAAAAACTGCAAAAGGAATCAAATAGTGATATTTTATCTGAAATTGATTGAGTAACAGAGCCTTTAGCAATAAATATAAAAGGTAAGTAATGTTAGAAGTATCTGATGCTCATTTGTGCATTTGAGGTTACCAGCTACTGATTTTGCAGTCGTCAGATTTATAGTTTGATGACAGGAAAAAAGAAATGAAACACACTGAACTTTAACATCTGCTTCAAAATAATTAACAGTGATGAAAAGATAAAATGCCCTAACGATAGATAGGAATCCTGAACAGAAAGCATCTGCTTCCCAACATTATCCAATCGATTCCAGTCACCTGAACAGACTAATGGGGTTTGAGAATGTGCTTTTTTTTATGGCGGATTCATGTGAGTTCATGTGGATGAAAACTGTTCTGAAACCAAACCCTTTTTTTTAAAAAACAAAGTGGTGGAGATTTTTATTTTCAAAAAGACCTGGCTACATGTGGAGAAGGCAGTGTGTAGGTGGAAAAATAACATTTAGTCCACAGATGGGATTCTTGTCTTTCTTCTTCCACAGAGATCAGATTTGTGGAGCTAATAATTGTACTGTGATTAACTTAATCTACTGAAACCATAACCCTCTGGTCTGATTTTACTTCAGATTATTGCTCTCCTGGCCCATCTTGTAAGCTTAGTTGGGCAGCCATGTTGTAGGTGTGGTACGTTGACGGTTCTGTCATGCTCTCTTCAGTTTCAGATGATAAATTCAACAGGGTTGCATAAGATTTTAAAATCTAGGACATGTTATTACCCTAATCTTCCCCTGTTCCACTTTATAAAGTTGCTGCTTTATGTTGGTGTATTGCACAATATTCAAATAAAATTTGTACATTTTCAAGGAAATGCAAAGGTAAATTGTGTTCAAAATGATTTTTGGAAGGCAAGTTATATGGTGATTATAAAATAAAACCCATTCCAAAATCCAGACTTTTTTCTCAGAAAATTAAAGTCAGAAAAAAAAATCAGAATTCAGAGACAAAAAAGTCAGAATTTAGAGGGGAAAAAGTCTAAATATATTTATTTTTTGTTTGCAGTGATCCTAATCTTCCGCCATAAGTTACTGCTACAAATCAGAGTATGGCTTACTTCTTTACTTTTCTGCCAATTCTTTTTTTTGCATTTTTTTCTCCAAAGAGTTTTTTAGCAGCGCTAGTGGCTCGCATTTTTTGACAGTAGACCGACAGGAAAGATGGCAAGGAGAGGAGGAAAGGCATGCTGCAAAGGTCGCCGGGCTCGGGAGTCGAACCCGCGACGTCTGCGTCGAGGACTGAGACCTCCAAATGTGGGGCGTGCTAACCCCATGCGCCACCACATCACGCCCCAACTTTTCTCCCAATTCTTAAATAGATTTTGTTCTGATTGAACTTCATGTTTTGTAAAGAAAGCCAGCATCCCATTTTGCAACTTTATATTTAGTAAACAATCTGCAAAATATAATGCAATGACAGAACACAAAGCTGTGCAGGAGAAACTGTAAACTAATAATTTGCTTCCCGACCCTAACAGCTCCTGATCCTCTCTTTCTACAGTTTTTGTTTCTTTATTCATCATCTTTCTCAGGTTTTACATTCAGACTTGTCAATGTTCACCAGGCTATCCTGGAGAGGATGGGGACAGAGAGGCATAAAGGACAAATTCACATCCGTACTCTGGGTGGTGTAACACCCCCCGGGCTTTGCTGAGATTCTGCCAAGCTAAATTTAGCACCGAACCGTGGGATTCGTCCTCAATTTTAACTCTTAAATGTAGGTTGAGCCTAATAGATTCAAGTGTAGAAAGGCAAGAAATCAGAGGTGAGGTTCAGGAGACGACCCGAGACAATAACTTTATGCGAATAAGAGTAATTTTCACACAAGGAAAATGTAAATTTCTCATACGAGTCAATGTCCCCCAGATTATCGACATAGATGGAAGAAAACTGCTGGAATGAGGAGCTGATGTTATCTCAGGAAGGGCTGTTAGTTTTGTTAAAGGCAGATCACAAAAATCGTCTTCGCAGCATGATTCAAGGTTCATGCAGCTAAAGAAGCCGCTGCAAGCTTTGAAACCCTGAACCAGAGCTTTTCTGGCATTTTGTTTTCTATTATTGTAGCCTACGATATTGCACACTTAACACACAGCTGTATTGATCATGTCTGCATGATTTATTTGTATATCTTAGGAAACAAAACCTTTTGTTTAGAACAACTGGACCACGCCACTCACTTAGTCTTTTTCCGGATCTCTTCCACCAGCTGTTTAATGTGATCCTCCATAAACTCAATCTTTTCCTGCTTTCTCGCCAGCGCCTTTTGCAGACGGACAATCCGGTCCACGAGGACGGCCTTGTCCACCTCTGGGAAGCTGTCCACCACCATAACGGAGGGACCGGACTGGCTCTCTGGCGACCGCTCCTCAACGCTGCTGCCCCCACCTTGACGTGCGTTTAAGGAACCTGATTGAGAATTGGAAACACCAGATGTTTTCTATTACAATATTCTGGCTTGGTTTTGCAACAACTTCATGCGTTTTAGCAAAAAAATAAATAAAGTTGCGTGTTTAGTGCAATTTTCAGCTGGAAAATTTACATAAGGGTGCAAAGAAATTTAGAAGAGCTCATGTTTCACAAAGTCAGTTAAAAATGTGAACTATTATAATGGACATATTAAAAAAACATTATTTTTTAAGAATTTATGTCTTCTAATTTTGATGATTCTCACTTTAAGTTAACAATTACCTAAAATATATTTACCTGAAAATTTTAACATAACATAAGAGCAATAAAAAAGGATCATTAATGAGCCATAAGAAGCCACTGTTAAAGAAGCTGGCTGTACCCAAGCAACTTTAAGGAAAGTTGAGTGGAAGAAAACACTAGGGGAGAAAAAGAAAAAACATGTGTAAACGCAGGCTTCAGAGAATTGTAAAGGAGATTTGGGAGGAGATTCAAAAGGCTGAACCCAGGGCTTCAAAAGTCACCAAATACAGAACTGTATTCAGAACTACAACTGTTGCATTAATCACCACAATATCAAAGAACAAATACTACAATGTTTTGACAAGTGGAAATTAGAACAAGCCAGACAAGCTGAGGGCTGCTATCGTCATTTATTTATTCACTAGCAGAGCCACCGGCTGATCGACTCCACGCTACGCCACAATGATGCAGTAATTTATGCAAATGGAGTCCAAACTAAACACTAAGAACATATACAGCTCAAAATATTTTTCAGTAAACAGACACGTCCAATTTTCTGAAAATGTAGTTAGTTGTGAGCTGAAGCAAAAGCTTGGTATACATTTATATTGGAAATGAATTATTTTAATAAATTAAGATACAACCCAATGCCAATAAAGTGGGAAGAAAGTGAGAAAGTATGAAAGATTTAGATCAAGAGTGCAACGTTAAATGTTAAATACTAACCAAATCTCAGAGTAGTACCTGAGGAACTGGAGCGACTGCCCATACTGCTGGCATCCCGGTCGCAGCCGCCATTCTCAAACTGCTCCAGCCTTTTACGGGCTACAGAGAGAAAACATCATAAAATCAGGACAAAACAAAACAGAGTTGCACAGAACTCAAACACTGAAATTATGACATTTTTCTGCATGTAAAAAAACTTAAGTGACCAGTAAGACGTTTGTTTTTTTTGCTAAATTCAGGAGATGTAGTATCGAACCTTGTGTTAGTTGTTTTGTGAGGTCTTTGATGTTGGCAGCTTGTTTCCGTTTCTGGGTCACCAGTTCGTCCCTCAGCTCCTCCACTCTGGTCTTCAGCTGGGCCACCTCTGCCTGCAGCGCCCCACGTTCGTCCTGCAGGCCCTGCACCTCCTGGCTCCTCATCACTTCTTCCTGTTTCAGCTGTCGCGACTGCAGATTTATAGGAATGCAGGTTATGATATAGTGGAAATACTTTGTGTGCAATGACGTTTTTAATCGCTTAATTGAATTTTTAGTTTTTGAAGTTTTAATTTCTGGAAAATGTTGATTTTTTTTTCACCAATGATCTTGGGTTTCCATAGATTAGAGTGATCTTCTTTAACAAATGTGTTTTAAAGTTTCTATTTATTTCAACTGTGAACAAAAGTCAGTTCTATGATGGAATGTTAGAGCGAGTTGAAGATTTACCGGTATTTGTTTTTCTTTTTTTAAAAGAAAAAAGTCATTATTTAGAAAAAGTAGCAATTTTATGAGAACTCACACATAAAAATTCAAAAAATTAAAATGAGGAATGTTGAGCATCTTTTTAAGTTACACGGTTTTACAGATAATACTTAATATTTAAAAGAAATACTCAATCCTTTAACATGTCAATATCAACTTATTATCAATATCAGGACTTTGAAACGTCTGCATGTATTAAGGAGACAGATCTTTCATGTCAGATCCTAATAACTTAATACCTAAGCTTCATGAAAACAACTTTTTTCATATCCAAATAATAATAATTAAAAAAAGGACATTTTACTGGAAACAAAGCCTTAAAATTATGACTATACATTAGTAAATAAACAAAGATTCTTGTAGCCTGGGCTTGATAATCTAATATACAACTCAAAGAAAGGATGATTAAATAAAAAAACCCATCTAGAAAATATTTTCTGTCATTTGCTTTGTTTTTGTTATTGCTTTTTAAAGCGAAAGAATGCAAATTTTAAATCAGAAATCTGGTATGAAAAAAAAAAATTAGATTTTTACTTTTCAGCCAAATCACCTAGCTCTCCTAGTAAGACATTATGCATGTGTTTGCTGTATAAAAACATCTCTCTCATCAACCCCAGACCATGTCTCAGTGTGTCCACTCTCAGCATCCTTACCTTATCCTCCAGGAGTCTGCTGGTCTCCTTCAGCTTCTCTTGCAGCTCAGTGAAGCTGCTGCTGACCTGATCCAGCTGAGACTGCAGTGCGTTGCTCTCCGACTGCAGCTGGGCGTTCTTGCTGCTCAGTTTCTCAGTGAAGCCCAGCAGCTCGGCTTCACGCTCCCTGCTGCCTTGAACATCGCGCTGGAGGTCGGCCATCTGACTGGTCAGGCTCTCCACTTCCTCCTGGAGAGAGGTGATCTCCTGTTTGTCCCTTCATAAAATAACAAATGTGAGACGTGTTAAAATCTTGAAACAACTATTAAAGTAGCACATGCTATAAAGTATGAGAAAATTTATACTCAAGACATCAATCCAGCAGAAGTAGAAAAGTACCTGAAATCAATTTTCTTCTAGCTTTTTGAGAGAAACAAGATCCATTGCTACAATAAAACCCAATCTTTACTCAGTTTTTGTACCAAATCTTTATCCATAAAGCCCAGGTATTTATAATAAGTAAGCTCAATTTGCTCACCAAGGGCAGTGGTAATCAATCGAAATATCTTATAGCCTTTGGAAATGTGAGAAAACCACTGTTTTTGTTTTATTCACATTCACAGACAATTTCAAAGTGTGTAAACGAGACTGAACTCCGATAAAGCCAGACTGTAAAAACTCTACATCATGTGAGAGTGAAGAAGAGCAACAATCGATTAACAAGTCATCTACATAAGAATGATAAAAAGCATTTGGCTAATTATCACTAAAGTTATTTATACAAATAAAAAATAAAAGCGGTCCAAGAAGTGACCTGCGGAACTCCTTTTGTAATTTCAAGGAGAGAGAAAGAAGAACTCAAAGGGTTCTGTTTGACAAACAGTCAGGAATCAGATTCACTACCATCATGGGAAACGTGAACTAAAGAAGACATAATGCTCTAATTAAGTCAAGATGTGCTCAACATGAAGGTGTGTGTTAAATCTGTCCAGTTTATCATTTAGGGATATAATAGGCAGATGCTAAATACTATTACTAATACTACAAATCAACGTTTATCACCAGCGTTTCCATAACAAATGTGTGCAAACTTTGTCGATATTCCGCTAATGTCAATGTTTCCATTAAATAAGAAACACAAAATCACATGAATACTTTGTTCACCTGACAAGTCATTAAAAAAATGCAATGATCGTAATTTGCACCAGTGGCAACATTTGGTTGCTTATCTTGTGACTCATGTGATGCAAAAAAGAAAAAAAGAATTTTTTTCATTGCAGTTTTGTGAAATATGACAATTTGATATGGCCAACAAATCCCACATCATTCTAGTGCCAAAACATTTGATCAAAAAATGTTTTTTTTTTTTCAAAATTAGTGCGTTTCCATATGTGAATTTATTTTGAAAATGTCAAGTTGGACAATTATATGGTGAGTGGAAACGCAGCAGATGGCAATCAAAGCGTGGGTATTTTATTGGAAAAAATGAAAGCTAAAATAAAATTTAATTAAACACTTCGCTAAAACAGTTTCCAACTGCAATTTGGTTATGAAGTGATTTCCACAGAGGGCTCATCTCTGTAGTGTGTGTCTGCTTGAGCTTTAACAATAAAAACTTTGGTATCTTTACCGTTCATGCTGCTCCTGAAGTGCAGTGACCTCTTCCAGTTTTTCTCTCTGCCGGCCGATCTCAGCCTTCTGCCGGTTTATGATCTCCCTGTATTTGCTCAGCTCATCCTCCCACCGCGGCCGCTCGTCCTCCAGACACTTTAACTAAGAAGCCAGACATCCTTGTTAGACAGAGGACTCGCGCTTGCTGCTGCTATACAAACATCGCTCCGGATGACAAACCTTAGTGCGGAGTGTTTCCAGCTCATCTATGCTTTCTTTGTAACTCTTCTTCAGGTCCTCCAGCTCTTTAGCCTTTGCTCGATGCATCTACAACAGGAATGAGGTTCTATTTCATATTTGTATGCAATGTATTTCATGTGTTCTTTTTTTCTAGAAAACAAGGCCGTCAATACTTTATGTAGCGTCATTACACAACAAATACATTTCCTTGTAAGCCATGTATTGCGTTTGTTTGTTTATGAATTCATTAGGGATGTGAAACAAATGGTGCTTTTTTTCCCCATGTTTTGCCTCATGTTTTTAACAAACTCATTATTGGTGCTGCCGCTTGTCAACTTTTCCAAGAAGTCATTAAAGGCCTCCGGTATCCACGACGACGCAGCAGTGATGGGGGTTCTGGTAAATTCTATTTCATCCATTCATCTTTTGCATCCAATTTAAATGTAATCTCCCAACCAGTAATGGAAACAGTTTTGTTTGCATAATTTATGATTTAGGTTGCTTCATCATGAGTGTATGAGATACATAACAATAAATATACTGTAGGTTTAGAGGGATTAGTGGATCGGAAAAAAATTTGAAGAGCGTCAGGTCAGCAATTTTATTTAACGGCGTGACAACAGACGGCAGCTTTTGTTGAAAACTTTGTTATCAAAAAATTGGACTCTTCTTTCTGCTGCTGCAAACATCATAAATTCAAACGTCGGGACTTTTTCTCTTTTTTTTTTGGAGGCATTTTCACTGAGCTGTCAACAACCTGTAAAAAATGAAGCACTCCCTCCAATTAATCTAACTAGGTGATGTCTTCTGGGTTTGTTGTTGAAATGCGAGGCTTAATATTGATTATTTCTAGGCCATTTATTTTTAAAGTCTGATTCCCGATAGAGTGTGGCACTGAGAAAAACAGGCCACAGTGTTTGGACCGAGTCCATCCGTTCGGTTGTGTGCATGCAGAGCATCAGCGGCAAAATTACTGCAACTGATACTTTAAGGCAAGCTGAGAAAAAAACATGGAGAAACAAGCTTTAAATCAGGATCGTCAATAATAGGCTTAAAAATAAAGGGAACCTGTGCTGTGATTTGTCTCTTAACGGACAATCAAATGGGAAAACATGTGATTACTTAATCTACAAAAAGATTCAGATTTAGACTGCGTGCATAATAACAAAGTTGAAGGAAAATGCTATTCCAAATGTTTAGCAATAAATATTTCAAATTTTCCTTGCATTTATAGTTAACCTCCTTTATTCTGATAACCCAACAGACTGATCTGGATCCAATCTGATTGAGCCAGTTTGTTTAAAAAAAACTAAACAAAAAACACCTATTTCTGTAATCTATAAAAGCTCAAGTGGTAGCAACTCTTTTGCAAGGACAAGAGAATCCAAGGATCCATCTTCTATTAATATCTATTTATCTTCATATTAAATAGATCGGAACCCAGAATACGCTTATTTTATCCACAGTATTTTTTTTCTTATTTGTTATTTCTTTATAGGTATCACAGTGATCACACTGCCAGCTGAAATGTTACAATCAGTTATTTCAGTCAGGAAATAAAAGGAAGAAAAAGCGCATTGAGAAAGAAGATGAATATGTGAAAAAAAAAGTTATTTTAGGTTAGATATCGTGCGTCACCTCTAACTGGTCTGTTTGCTCCTGCTTGTGTTTCTCCAACTCTCCTTTAGTTTCCTTCAGTTTAGCGTCCAACTCGTTGGATCTGAGCTCTTCTGATTCCTAAAGAGGACATAAATTATAGTTTTAAATACAGGAGTATAAAACGCGAGGAACAACAGTAAATGACATTAATATGTTCTTGTGTCAAATTATAAAATCTTTGTCTGGTGTTGTTGTGATGTAAGTCACAATTAGTAGTTCTGATTCATTTTTCTAGAAGAGTCTAAAACTATCGTGGCTCTTTACTGCCACCATCTGGCACATTCAACCAAATTCAGTCTGGTCAGGTTTGCACCTTTACCTTAACTTTTAACAATAAAATCAACACAATAATTTCTGCTGTGATCACGATCAAACTTTCACACTACAAACCTGGTATGTTCGGATCATGTCCTGGCAATTCTTTCGGATCTGTTCTGTCTCCTCTTTGGCCTGAGCCAACTTGGATGTCGTTTCTCTCAGCTTGTCTTTTGTTTCCTGGACACAAACAAACATGAAGGTGCTTTTGAAGAGGAAAAAATAAAAAAAAAGCCTCCCATCTCTCAGAGGGTTCAGGTTAAAACCTCAATGTTCATTACCAACTTGTTTTGATCTTTTCTACCATTTTTGCAGAGGGATAAACAACAGCCAGATCTATGTGGCCTTCAGCAGCTCCTGAGCTTTTGCACCCTCTTTTGTTTACTGTTGTTTATCTGCTTAGTGGAGTGGGAAAAAAAATGAAACTATTCTTTTGTTAGAGCCATTTTTCAAAAACAGCTACAACAGCAATTTCCTTCCAGGGTCATTACAGTGCAATTCCTATTTCATTTCATCCCCAAATCACACATTTAATTATGTTATTTTACAGCCTGGAGAAGGTGATCATTTTTATGCTGACGTAGATCAACAACTAGCCAGGTGGTTTTTTTTTATGTTTTATATTATACAGGGTGGTATGTGTGACTGTAAAAACTGAAAACACACAAAAGAACATAAACATTTAGATGATTCGATGATAATTTAAACTTAAAATGCAAAATGGAATCCTAATACCAACATTTGACCACAAGAATCATAATGAATAAAATATAGACAACTTCACATGTATCTGAACACTTAAATGGTGTATTAGGGCCACTGTGGATAGAATATAGTTAACAAAAAAAAAGGAAAAGTAAATTTACACCAAGAATTCTCAGAAAATTTATAAAAAAAACAAACAATAAAACAAGACACTTTCAGAGTTTGATATATCAAAAATTTGCTTGAAAATATTCAGAAATGTATTGATTAATCTCAGAAACCCTCTAGAAAAAAAAGTTTTCAAACTCCAAAGTTTCCTCTTTTTTTTGGCAAATATTTACTCAATTTTACTCTAAAATGGCCCCAATACACCATTGCAGAATACTGACACAAGCTTTATTTTATTTTACCCATTTAATTAAACATTTTAAAACTATAGATGGATGTAAATTTCAGAAAATCTATAAACAAAGGATCTTACAGTATTACAATTAAGAATAACAAAAAAACCCTGTGGTGCCAAGTTTTATTTTATTTTTTTGCATAGATTGAACCCAGGCTTGTATTGGCAACAGAGAGTGAGCCAGTTGGAAGAAAAACAAACTTTATAACATTACCTTATGAGCATCTGCTTCACTCTTTAATTTGTTCTGGGCCCATTTGACTTTGATCAGATGAGAGTTAATCTCCTCTTTCAACTTTTCCCCTTCTCTTGCCAGCCGGCCAACCTCACCCTCCTGTGAATAAAGGAGCAAACGAATGGGACTTGATTAAAGTACTGAATGACAAAAAAAATGCTGATTAAGGTAAAATGGCTGTTTGAGATGAAATATTTTGTTAAACCGAGATTTGTTTCTACTTAAGATATAAACAAGACAGTAAAAACACTTTTGTCGTTTATATTCCATCGTGAAATTGAAAGCATGAATCTGAAACTTTATCCTTTTCAATGTTTAGGGGTAAATAATGCAGATAAAGTTTATACATATTTCAAATAGAAAGCATTTAAAATGTAATTGACCTTGGCGTCATACAGCTGCTGCAGCCGCCCCTTCTCCTGAGCCAGCTGGTTCCCGCGCAGCGCTTGGCGGTCCACCTCCTTCAGCGCTTCCCTCAGCCTCTTCTCTAAACTCTCCTTGTCCCGCCTCAGGTCCAGAGCCTCCTTCTCCCCCCGCACGTATTTCATCACCATGGCCTCCTTCTCCTGTCGGGCCTCATCACACTTCTTGTTCACCTACATTGTATGAATGTTGTGTTACATCCTAATCAATAACTGGGATGAACATCGACTTGACAGCACTGCAGCATCGACAGCTTCCACAAGAAAGGTAAAGAAAAAAAACAAGTCACTGTTACTACAACTGGCTGCTCACAGTGTGCTACATTCGAACATATTGACAAAGTTGAGTGAAAGGTAAAAGTGTGGTAGGAAGAGGTGCACAAATAGGGATAAATGCTGCTTTGAGAGAATTGGTCATGTAAAGCCCATTCATGACCAATTCAGGAATTTAAGGGAAATTCACAACTAAGAACGCAGGTTATCGATGAATGAGTTCATCTAAAGTTGACCGATCTTATCAATCGACCGTCGATTAATTGATAAGCTGCTATTTTCTTAAAAACTTGAGTTTTTAGTTTGACATAGCAGATGTCGAAGGTGATGCATAACCTGCATTTTGCTTGAAATGTTCGTGCTTTGAAAGAATGACATAAAAACACAAAATAACATTTCAAAATATTTTTGAAGAAATACAATATTTTGATGCATGTCTCTCACAACATAGAAAAATAACATCTTAGACCACATTGTGGTAAAAGCAGTAATCATCATTATTCTACTTTAGTTTTGGGAATATAAAAATTCAGTTATTGTCTCGAAGCTTCAACAAATTAACATAAACAAATGATCTGAACCTCGGGGCAGCAACAGTCGACTATGATTGGGTCAGTGCTGAATGATACAAGCAAAGGCCCTGAAAGGGATTTGGAGCATAATGTAACGCATACTGTTCAGTGGACGGTGAAATTAAAAATTGTGAAGTGTGACAGAACTGTCAAGAGAACAGCAGCCAGCACGGCTTTAACCAGGTGAGCAGAATCAGGATGAACAATGTTCCGCCAGCAATATTTGTTTAGCAAGCGATTTAACCTGCAGCAAGAGGAGTTTGGTGAGCTATGACCTTGAACGTTCAGCTGACAGCTTTGTGCAAACATCCATAAACGACGTGGCAGCAGAATTATTATTTTTGGGCCAACATTGGCTAAAAATAGGTAATCTTTTTCGAACTTGAAAGCCATGCAGAAAGCAGAGTCATGCCAGAAATGCAAAATAAGGTTTGGATATAGTTTGAGATTAGTTTCATATCCAGTCAAACCTGTTCTATCCTGTGAGTGGTCTCCCTATGCAGCTGCTGCAGAGCAGCTTTGGCCGATTGCTCCTGGTGGATCAGTTTCTCCCGCGACTCCTTCAGTTCTTTCAGAAGCTCCTCCACCCGCCCCTCCAACTGCAAAAACAGGGAGAACACGGCTTGAGCAACCCAAACCTGAGCTAACCGGCTCGGCAGGATTACAGCTGAATGAAAGGGCTGAAGGACAATCAGGCTCACAGAGTAACGAAACCAACACTTTCTGTTAAAGAAGGAATTTCCCTGAGAAGATTTGCATTAAATTACACAGCATGGGCAAACTTTACTGAATATTATGTAAGGCTACGTTCACGCTGCAGCCCAAAGTGACCCAATTATGATTTTTTGCCACATCAGATTTCTACTACGTGGTTGTTCAATTATGCGACTTGCATATGATCTAAAGTGTGAACTACAAAAGATCTAAAACTGCCCCGCATGAGGGGTAAAGGGCACAAAAACGTCAGAGTGTGTTCAAAGTGTTTGCAGACATAAACAGTGGACAATGCTAACGGTGGAGCATAGTTTGTGATTTTGAAGTTAATGCTGACTGGAGCCAGCATTAACAACTTAATCCTCATTATAGTCCAACATGGTTGTTGTTTTTCTATCAGCTTTTTTATCAGAATAGTGACGTTTGTCGAGTATCATTGACATTCAGGACCTGGCCGTTATGATTCAGGTCTCATTTGAAAAGATCACAGATGCATCGAATATCCAAGAGGCCTGGGACGCATTTGAAAAAATCTGACTTGTGTTGTTCAGACTGACATAGAAAGATCAGATATAGGTTGCAATAAGGGAAAAAAAAAAAAAAAAAAATCAGAATTGGATCACTTCGGGTTGCAGTGTGAATCTTCATTATTGAAAAAATAAAATTCTCCAATGTATACATCAGATTAGAAAGAACAACAAAAGGTAATTTAATCAGACACTGTGCAAACAAAAAATAAAGAAAAGTATATACCTTTTGTGTACCTTCATATTTACACATAAAAAAAATCCATCACATTAGGTTCTAATAAGAGTAGACCACTTGAGTTTTTGCTAATCTAATCAAATTGATTTAAAAAAAAAATTAGAAAAATCTAACATACACAAATGAAGTCATCTGTGATAAGATCCCAATATCATTTTCTCCACCCTTCCAGACTGCTTTGTTTGACGTCCTTAATTAGCAGCTGAACAGGACTCTGGAATAAATTAAATTGGATTGGAAAGTCGCAGTGACGGGTGCAGCTTAACAAGATTTAGCCGTTGGGTTGCAAAACAGTCAGAGCAGGCTAAATTACTCGGTTTAAATATTAACAGTGAGTAATACTCAGCCTGTACCCTGTCTGCAATTAATATTTGGTCAAGAAATTTATTTTTTAAACAAAAGAGAAATTAGCAGTTACATATTTTATAAGTCACAATGCAAAATATATTTTAAAAATGCAAATATAAACTAAAGTCTTTAGAGCAGTATAGCTCAGGTGACAGGTACAATAATCAATACAACAAATACTGCAAATATGAATCTACATACATTTAAGAAAGTGATATGTAGTAAGGAAAGACTGCAATCACCTTCATCATAGATAAACGCAGAAAAAAACATAAACATATAGTCTACAAACTGCTGTTAAGATCTGTTAAGTCTTGATTAAAAGCTCAGATGTCCTAGAAGAAATTTTCTGAAATCTTTTAAATAAAGAAGAGTTTGTAGAAGGATTATAAACACATTCAATTTCCACATAAAATTCCATAAGAAGCTGAAGTCAAAGAGACAACTTCTCCAGATGAAAAGATTTTCAAAGTGACCAATAAACAATTCAGATTAAAATCCAAAACAAAATCTGGAAAGTTGTGGAAAATATGGAAGACCTTGGGAACGCTTTCCTTTAACAAAGTTTCAGCTTACTGGTGTGCACACCTCTGGAAACAAACAGTTGTGGTATTTATTTAAGATAACCTTTGCTTCTAACAGGTTTGTTTGACTTTCCGTTTAATTATATAGATTAAATGTCACATTAAAGATGGAAAAGGTCTCGTAGGGATTCATCATGGTCTCATTTTCTTAGGCCTGACACAGGTGAGAGATTTAAGGTTAAAGATTTCAGTGTTAGAAATTTTACAATGCCAGATGAGAAAGATAGGAAGCAAGAAAAAGTGATTTTGGAGCAACTGGTACTGCTGCTGCAGCTTCACAAAAACATCACTGTCACATGATGATGAGGATTTCTTCTTCACAAACGCATGACAACATGACATCTACTGCATGTCATGTAGATGTCAGGAAAGACAGCTACTGCAAAATCTCTCTTCAACAAATCCAAAAAGAGAACATCTTACCTTTTTAATGGAGCTCATGTGTTGCTTCTCTGTTTCTGCTCTTTTCTTCAACTCTTCCTTCATGTTGTCTTTTTCTGAGCAGATACCCAGAATCAGTTCCTGGTGTCTCTTGTTCTCCTCAAGCAACCTGAGCAAAAAGGTTCAAATAGATGTTAAACCCTTGAAGTCCTTTAAGAATTTAGGTGCATTACGTCTTTGAACGGTAAACGAGGTATCTACAAATGTCAGGAAGTCAAATTTAAGACTTTTTAATGCCACCTTGGATAAAATTTAAGACTGAAAAGTCAGATGATTCTGCTGTATTGCTACTTAGCAAGGATATATTCACAGCTGTTTACCAGTAAGTTCAACCAACTTGAGTCACAATATGCAATGAAGATGTCTGTCAGCAACTCCAACTTTTGCTAAATAGGCAAGTCCCATAAGAAAAAAGAATTTATCATATATAGAGTAACTAGTCCTGCCACAACAAAATTTAAGACCTGTGATCAAAGTATTTAAGGCCAACTCACATTTTCTTCCATAAATTTAAGACTTTTTAAGGATGTGTGTATAAAATTTACCTCTGAATAGCCTTCTCCTGTTGAGTGTACTTGTACTGCACACACTTCTCAAAGACGTCCATGCAGCCCTCCTGATCTCCTGGGAGTCCGTTGACAGGGGAGCTCCCTTTCCCTTTCCTTTTGCTTTCGCTTTCAGACAACCCGCAAGCTAAAAGCTCCGACTCCAGTTCATCCAGCAGCGACTCCTGCGACAACGAGCGCTGGATCTGGGAAATAAGCTTTCGGCTGCAGTCAGTGTCAAAAGGACTCGACGAGGATTGTAAGAGGATGGAGACGTTGGCGGTGGTCTGCGGGCTTGAGGCCGGCGAGAAGCTGAGTGTGTCGGAGCTTGGAGTGGACGGTCCATTAGAGATCCCAGAGGTGGAGGAGTCTGTAGAGGAGTTTTTGAAAGTGCTTTGGACAGAAGAGGGTGAAGGACTGCTGTCGACAGCAGGTGATTGCAACAGTGGCTCATTGTCATGCTGAGCTGTTGCATCAAAAGTCAATAAGGTCTTTGTTGTCCCTTTGATAACAGGAGGACTTTCTGCCACATCCTGACTGGCAGCAACAGCTTCATTTGAAAGACTAAGTGGAAGTCTATCAGTTTCACTGGAAACTTTCCCAGCATCACCTTCAACATCAGCAGCTGTCTCTCTCACATCATGATGGTGCTGACTGCTTATCTGAGCTCCTTCTTCAGTCTTGATTAATCCACTTTCCAGCTGGTTCTCACCTTTCACCTGATTGCAAGTCTTCACGGCATGATCACTGTTTTCAAAGATTAATTCCTCCTCTTCGACATTTGCCGTACTACGATGACACTCGTCTCCAGAGCGTATTTCTTCTGTTGCTAATTTATCATGCGATCCTTCCATTTTTTGCGCAGCTGTAGTCGGAGCCAGATGTTTCATGCTCCTCTTACAGTTCAAATCTGGCAACGAGGAAAACAAAAACAGAAAAGTAAATTCAAAATGTTTTCAGTATTTCATTTATCAGCAGGTAGTTAAAAGTTCCTGGAAGTCATCTGTGTGGCATCTCTGTGCCATTTGCATCCTGATCTGCACTTCATGTGCTTAGATCATTGATTAGCAAAGGAAATACTTAAGGAATGTTCACAGACAGACTCAAGAGGCGTGTTGTTGGCCACGTCAATGACAAGATAATTTTTTTCTGTAAGGAGTGTGACTGCAAACGTCACACAACTGATACTCATTCAAGATTAACATATCAACAGAGCTTCATTCAAAACCAAATAAAAATTTTTTTAGAGACACAACTGTAAGCAAATATTAGCATTTAGCATAATTTTTCTACTTTTTTGAAGTATTAATAATGGTCTCAAAGCATAAAAATGATAGTGTACAAAACCTGCTAATCCTGTAGCAGTATATATGAGACTGTAATGGAACAAAATATGTCACAAGGAACTGTTTACAGTTTTGAACGCCTTATATTTTTCTGTTTATGTTACATCTAGTTTTCCATTAGCTCCCTTAATACTTCAGGTTCTCATTTTTACACTGATCATCTATCTGGATACTTTTCTTTTTTATTTAAAATGATCTTAAGTTTTACTGTTTGTTAGGCTATTTGGTTTGACACTAAATAAGGTGTTTTTGGTTGTTTTTATTAAATTTTTTATGACATGGACTAAATTTGTCTTGAATAAAATTTTCAGAAGAGCGTAAAATTGTTATAAATATATCTCTTCCTCTTCAATACTCTACAGATGAAGTGCAAGGAGTAAAATAAACATTTTAATCTATTCTCAACCCAAGTAAGGGCATTCAGATTAATGTAAACATTTCCAAATCCAATACCATTCCTTATTTTTATAAACCTTTTTAAAAAGATAAAGAAAAGAAAATTGTATGCTATGACCAAACACACAAAAACAATAATGGAAATAGAAAACAGGTGACATGCAAAGAAGTCCATGCTAAACTTGTAAAAAAAAAAGTAAATAATTAAATGGTTTCACCTCTAACTGAACACTGAAAGGGGCTGTGTCAGCATTTACTGTGTTACTAATTAATGGGATGATTCAGACTGAGTAGAAAACTTATTAACCTTAATTCAACTTCACATTTCATTCAGCAACACGACCATTTTACTGCTATACTTGCTTTTAAAGGAATCCACACCTTCCCAGCAGCATAAACCTCGCCCATTTGAAGTCCATCTTCTTGTATCGATTTATATGTTCTTTCATAAAAATATGGGTTCTGAACAACAACAAACCAAGCTTTAAGCTCTCCCCTTAGATGTAATATTGTGACATTCACAATGTTTTCTCTGCTTCCATTAAGGGAAAGGTTTAGCAAGCATATGTACAAGGATGCTCCTCTGACAGGTGTCATGACAAACATCGGAGTTATTAACATCGTGAATGTATTATTTCATTCCAAAATTAAGCATTTCAGAGTACAGTAAATCGGTGTGCAACAACAGGCAGCAGCTCGATTAGTTTTTTTTTTTAAATAGCGCTTGACATTTTATTTACATTCCGGTGCATTTGACGTTAGCAGTACATGTTAGCATGCTAGCATCAGGGACATGGCATCAGGGCTTACTGTCGGGCTACAAAACGAGTTAAAACAGAAAATGCTATAATAAAACACTATCAAACAATAATGTATGATTATTACCAAGCTCTAGGTTGGCATATTTTAATGTTAAAAGGCCGTCGCTGATTCACCTAGTTAGCTAAGCTAACCCAGATAAGACATACGTTAACTGAGGCCAACGGCTAGCGTGTAACACCGACAGAAAGTGAAGCCAAATAAAGATAGTTATACCCACCAGGTGCCAACGAGTCATCTTGTATGTCCGTGCAATGACGGCCACAGCTCCCTATTTATCCAGCTGATCGCTCAACTACTCAAATGCTATGACACATCAACAAATATGGCCACAGCAGGAGAAGGAGAAACCAATGAATACCAAGTGACAAATGACGTCAGTCTGACGTTAACGCAAACAACAGATACACCTGCAGGTCTGCCCAGTATTTTTGAGGAAATCCACACCAGGTAAATGTAGGTGAGCCACATTACAGCTGTAGCTAAAGGTTTGAAGGTTTGCAGAAAGTTGCTTTGTTTTGTTTTTGGGGGTACCTGGCTTTGATATAGGTTATAATGATTTAATGCAACTAACCTAATCAATAAACCTTCCTTGCATTGAAGCAGACTGACCTTCAATAATCATTTGAGACTCTCATTCTTACTGCAGGTTGATATTATTATAATATTCAGATTACATTTGAAGTACAGAGTGGTTGTTTTACAAAGGAGAGGTGCCTAAAACTCATTCATCTCTAGTCAGCCATGGTTATGGAAACATGAGCTGTCACTGTTGATTTGCATGAAAAAGGCTTCAAAGGCAAAGACCGTTCTGAATGTCAGATATCAACTTCAATGAAAGAAATTAAGTTTCTTTGAAAAAACAAAACTTCAGGGTGCCTATGGAAAAGAAAATAAATAGGAGTATCTTCTGAAGAGGACTAAATTATTGAATGACACCACGAGGACTGGAATGCAAAAGGATGGAATAACTGTGTGTTTTTCTTTTCTGAAGAAAAGCACACAGTTTCAGCTGTCTGTGTTCAGATTCACATTTTTATGTTGTTCACAGTTTTCTTTTGTTTTTGTTTTTTTGTCTTTGCCTACGATAAAGTGTATTTTTTCAACTTTTATAATGCTTTCAATGTGTTTATCACTGCGTCTCTTTTGGCCTCTGTTATTTTTCCCCATTGAGGACCGTTTCATTGTTTTCTATTGTACTCTAAAACAAATTTTAAATAGTTATATGACACAATATCTCTCAAGGTTGATAAATACATACAAAAATCCAAATTTATAACAAAACAAAGGGGGGAAAAATAAACAAAAAACAATTTGGCCACGTACATTCGCGATAATAGTTTGACCTTTCGCTGACGTCATTACGCACGTACAGCCCTTTTTTCTTCTCAAGCAACGCGTGAAGGCAGGTTGGTCATTAAATATTAAACTTCTTTAATCCTGCAAATACTTGATCTTATTGTTGAATGTAGAAACTTATGTAGAAAGTTTTGTTCCTTATAAATTAGCTTTTGTGAGGTAATTTTAGCTTCCAGCCGTGTTTGTTGGTTTTAAAGCTACCTTCAGTTAGCTGGCTAGCACCACATGAAAAAAAAAAAAAAAGACGTGGCAAAATATGCTGCGTACTTTTAAAGAAAGTATCTAAATCTAAATTATTTTATAGTTAAGGCCGTCGACATGAAAACGACTCTTCTTTCAACCCCTGTTCGACCCAACCGACCGCTGAGGAAGCCTTCGTCCAGTCCGGGCTTGCCTTCACCGAATCCGCCGAGATTCCCCAGCATGTCCGCCGCTGCGCCCGTGCGCCCCGCTGGAAACGGTAAATCCCCGGATAACAGCTAGTTAGTGAATTCCAAACCACAGCCACGCAATAAATACTGAATTAAAAAGTCTTTGTTCAATTATATTTCTTCTAGGTCCCGCCAGTTTTCCAGCAAGCACAGTCACCGGTTCAACAGTATGCACCGTTCTTTTCATTGCATTGTTCAATACCAGCAAAATGCGGCATGCATGCTATTTAGGTTCCACATTAAGAACTACTCAAAAGTTAATTTTAGCAATTAGCTTAGAGCAATAAAAACTGTTTACAGGACCACTCTTAGCCATTTGATTCATGGTTCCCAAGGCCTGACCCCCCTCCTCCCAATTTTTATAATTTTACATTATTTATTTATTTATTGTAATAAATACAGTAAATAACTGTACTTTGAATCTGCAAGTGCCTAGTCATGCCACAGGAATTGCATCAATGTTTGGGTTATGCAGCTTTTAATAATTAAGAATAATAATTTACTATTAATCCAAGATTTGTTTCTGTTTATATTCAAATACATTTATTTTATTACCAAGTCCAAATTTAAAATATTCTATAAAATATCCTGTACATGCCTCAGTTTATTTTATGAAGTAAAATAAGGGGGAAAAACATTCTAAAAACTGAAACTAAAAAATAACTTTAAAAAAAACTTTTATCTTATTGCCTCACTGATTCAGAAATTTAGTGCTGCTCTCAGAGGAGTTACTAAACTTTTTAAATAAAGAAAGAAAAAGTTTCCCACTTCTGATAACTGTTGTCTGGTTGATTAATTTTTTTGTGTGAAGAAAACACACAAAAAATTGTTTTTTGGAATAAAATGAGGCTTGTATTTGTCCTGGGCACCAAATTAAATTTAATTCAGAGTTTGCTGGTTTTTATCTTTAGCTTTGTTTGTTGGTGATCTTTGTGAAATGGGAAATTAGAAATCCAAATCTTGTGCAGTCTGTCTCAGTAGTACAACTAATCTCCCTATCTTAACTGCCATTTTTCTGTCAGTGTTTAATTGAAATTAAACTTCTATTTCAATGCAGCTTTTCCCTCTGCGTTTCTAGTTGCCAGGATTGGTTCCTCCAGCCCTTGCCATGTACTTCTGCAACTTCTGTGGTCAGCAAGGTAACGCTTGAGCCAAAAACGTCCAGATTCTCGTTACCCAATAAACTTGGTATTTACACAGAACTCTAATCGGGTTTTACACTGTGGCTGCTCAGTGCTGTTGATTTTTATTGCTCTGTAATTTCTGTCTTGGCACGGACAGTTGGCTCAAAATTGCTTTTGTGGTATGACTCATTTCATCTGTGGTGTTTAGTGCAGACTTTTGAATATGCATTTCAGTAAAATCATATTTTCTGGTGTCCAACAGGGAATTTCCGCTGCAAGCGCTGCAAGAAAATGCCTTATTGCTCAGCAGTTTGTCAGACGGAGGACTGGAAGGAACACAGACACATCTGTAAACCTGTTGACCCAGAGCCGGCAAGGCAGGTTTAGTCACCATTTGGGCTGGATGATAAATCAATTTTTATCAATTAATTGATTATTTTTTAATTGAGGCTTTATTTTTCACCAATGCACTGCTTTGGTTTCCATAGTTCACATTCAGAGTGATGTCAGCCCACCAAAAGCCTATCATCTTGTTTGACAAGCATGTCTCATAGCTTATATTTATTTGAATTCCAATTGACTATGACAAAATTTAAGAGTGAGGCTAAGTTTTATTTATTTTTTTAATGTGAATAATGTTCTAATGTTACAAGAAGACAGTCGTAGTGAAACAAGAATAATCGTATGGAAAAATGTTGAAATAATACAAGAATGAAGTGCTCAGATTACCAGAATAAAGTAATTGCAAAAATAATTATCCAAGCTTTTTTTAATTAAAATGATTTTTCTCATAATTTTAAGATGTTCCTCTAGTAAAATTTTATGTTTATTCTGCTTATATCAAGACTATGTTCTCATAATGAAATAAAAATCCTTATATCTTAACCCTAATAGTTCATCATACAAATCACAGACATGAAAGCCACTTTTTGAAAATGTTATTCTTCATTTATAATTTCTTTTTATGAAAAGAAAGTGAGAAAAATTAATTAAACTCACATGTGGTATGAAAAAAGTCTGAGATTTTTAATTCACATCCAACTTCCAGATTAATTTCTAATTTTGTTTTTCTTAATCTGAAGAGAGCAACCCAAGGAAAGCCTGGCTTTACCAGGGACTGGCAACAGGGAAAACCTCGCAGAATTGAAGGTAATTCACTTAAGACTTTGAAATTTGACATTTCAACTATAAAATACAACTCTAAATAATATACTTCTTTATTTATTTGATTACTGAAGGCTAGTGAATCACCCAGCTATAAGAAGGTCTACTTAAAAGATTTACATGCTTCTAAAATCACCAGTGGGATGGACATTCAGGTAAAAATAAAACTCTGCTTGCACTTTGCTTTTGAGCATGAATTGGCTTACTGCATAGTGCAAGAGTCTCTTTCACTTTTTTCTTTCAGGCCACTGTTGTTGAGTTTTGCAGCCCTGACAGGTTTTTCATCCTTCCTCAAGTCCCAGAGGTTCTGGAAGCTCTACAAATAATAAGCACAGAGCTTCAGAAAACCTGCAGCAGCTCCTCAGGAACAGCTTACGTTCCCTGTGATGGAGAAGTCTGCACTGTTCAGTTTTCCGTTGACAAGGTGAGAAGAGTTTCCCCAATGCAATTAGGAGAGACGCATGTCTCAATATAATATCTTTGGCAAGTTTTTTTATCCAATAATCTTGATTTTGTTTCTTAGAATTGGTACAGAGGCTTGGTCCAGACTGTAGCTGCTGACAAGAAAACAGCTAGTATCCTTTACATTGACTTTGGCAATGAAGAGAAAGTCCCGATTGAAAGGATCCAACCCCTCCCTGCTAATATTCAACATTTTTGCCCATGTGTGAGTATCTCTTGGTGTTTTTATTTCTTGGTTAGCACTACTGGCAGCTAACTTTCAATTTAAAAACCCCCAAATTGTTTGTATGCTACACTAATTCCCCAGTCAAACTAAAAATGTAAAATTTGCAGTTAATGTCCAGATATTTTTGGAAATTGTGTGCTGGGCTAAGATGTTAATTTCTGTCAGTTTAAAACTGACCAAACCCTTTTTAGGAAACTAGCTAAAAAGAACCGTAAATTGTGGAAATTGAACATTTAAGAAGTGTGTATACTATCTCCATGATAGTAGCACTACGCCTTTTATTATTCACCACAGGCAATGGAGTGCAGAATTGCAGGTGTGGTGCCGGTGGTTAACAAATGGTCCGACGAATGCTGCATTACCGTCAGACAGATGCTGACTGGTAAGGCTGTCACTGTGAAGTTGTTGGAAGCGACGGAGAAAGAAGGAGTCCACGCTGCGGATATCGTGCTGTCAATGAGTGGGTATCATGGAGGTGGATCTAATTTGAGTTTCGTATTTCCAGAAGGTAAAATCCTTCAAAGAAACTCTCTTCTTGTGTATTTAAGGAATGATGCTGAGCTCATTCCTAATCAAGAATGGCTTTGGAC